TATCCCAAAGATCTCAGTTCCTTTCGATATTCGCGCATTTCAGACCATCACTAACTGGATTATGGACCCTAGTTGTACTTTGTTGTTTTTTAGCTTGTTCTCTATTCATCTCTTACCAAATGTGGGTGTATCTTGCCTGGCAGCCGCTGGTTAGAATATTAAACGTTGAAATTGCGTAACAAATCAAACATCAAACGTCTAGAACCGAGGACCTTTAATCTAAAGCTCGAGACATATTTGCGTGTTATAACATTAGTCTGAATCAAATATGAGACACCACACCTTTAAGTTGTTACTTTAAATAATAACATGTCTATTATTTCATAAAGTTTACTTTGACCGAATGACTATATAATTTACTAGGCCACATGGCCAGATTGTCTATTTACTTTACATTATTAACGACAGGGACAGGACGGATTGTATGTTATCATTTATAGATTATATAATATGCAGCGACCAAGTTTCATAAAAGAACATGTCCAATATTCAGTAAAAATGCAGTTTTTCAATACATATTGTTAAAACCAAATAATTTACAATTAACTCCAGAGACCGGCTATGGACACTTACAATTTGCCAGGTTAGGAAGTTTATACGATTTTTTGTGAGAACTGAATTGGCATATCCTAGAAATTCCGAGGAATAGATTGCCAAACAACGAAAGACGCCCGAAGCCGTTAAATATCCCGGACAGTTGCATTGTGATTGTTTAGGTAAATACCGTCCTATACACACCACAGTAATCTACAATATAAGCAAGGGTAACAATTCTAAGACTAGTTTACAAAGGTTGTTGTATTTGGTCTAAGCAAAGTATGATATATAAATTTTCTATGAAAAACAGCCCATCGGTGTTGACGTTTTCTCAATATATTGTCAAAGGGATCACGTGGCTAAGTGGGTAAGACGCTGGCTCGCTGACCTGGAGGTCGGGTGTTCGATCCCTGCATTGGCCGAGGAAGTTCATCCAGATTTTCCGGCGTGGTTTCCCCTTGTTAGTGATGCAGGGCGGAGGGCGTGACAAGGACAGCTGTCTAGTCGTCCGGATGGGACGAAAAACCGAGGTTGTTGTATTTGGTCTAAGCAAAGTATGATATATAAATTTTAAGTAGGTGAAATCAAGAATTTTTTTTTCTATGAAAAACAGCCCATCGGTGTTGACGTTTTCTCAATATATTGTCAAAGGGATCACGTGGCTAAGTGGGTAAGACGCTGGCTCGCTGACCTGGAGGTCGGGTGTTCGATCCCTGCATTGGCCGAGGAAGTTCATCCAGATTTTCCGGCGTGGTTTCCCCTTGTTAGTGATGCAGGGCGGAGGGCGTGACAAGGACAGCTGTCTAGTCGTCCGGATGGGACGAAAAACCGAGGTCCCGTGTACACATTGGCGTGCACGTAAAAAATCCCTTGGCAGTTGGAATTCGATATAAGAGTAGGCCGTAGCGCCGCTGCCCGGGCAAAATTTGCCTCATAGCACACTGCATGGCGTATGCCCGTCTTCATTAGCCCAGGTTAGGAGCAGAACAGTAGGACGTTAAACCCCATTTCATTTCATTTCATTTCAATGTTGAAATCCCCCCCCCCCTAGTGCAAATCTGAGCACCAACCTGTTTTAACATATTGTGACATAAATGTCTCCGTTTTAATGACTATTTACGGGATCAAGAGAAAATCAGATAGATAAGCAACATAGCTGCCTGATTTTATTGAAACCTATATCCAGAAAAATGGCGTACTAGTGTAACTTTACCTGCAATTTTCCAAATAGTATGTCATTTGCTAATACCATACCTCAAAAGAAAAGAACGGCAACATTTAAGACTTTTCGGTTTCATGCAAACTAAGCATGACGTTATTCTTATAAACGATAATGATTACTTTATCCCCCCCGATCATTAATGATTTTATAATGTCAAAAACATACCACTTTACAAAGAAGAATTCAAAATGTGTTAATGTTCCAATGCAATCGCTAAAAAGTCCTGCCATATTAGATAACGATATTGTCTGAGGATGTTGAATATACTGCTCTGCCAGTATCCTACATCTGACGCTTATCTGGCGGAATAGGCGAATGATATTCCTGTGATGCCACTGCATTTGAAAATACTAAACAAAAGGGTAAAAAAATGTAATAATATGCAACTTTTGAACAAATCCTTATCAGCTTATGTATACCTCCACCAACAAAAATTTATTGACATCCTAGTGATTTAGACAAAGAAGACTCTAAATAGTTATGTCTACATATCCATGTACATATGCCATGTCGTTGAGTATAATTTTAATAACAGACCACAAGTGTTTCCCGACCATATCAAAAATCATTAGCAGCATGGGGATTGACCTATTCTTATTCACATACAATGAACTAATACAAATTATACAAAACTATCTTATTACTTAGTGTGAGGTGGCCACTTACTATTGTTGCCTTATAATGGATCTATACAGCGTTTGGTCTGAACAGGTTTTATAGCCTTTACAAAATTTATACTACTATTATCCATAATAGTCTTTTATAACATTAATACGATTTGTGATACATGTGTTTTATATGTTAATCCAATTAGGATCCAGGATTCCGATTTCATGTAGATCAAAGAATAGTTACAAATAATTATGTTAGGAATGGAATTATAGTATGAACTTTCTTTAATTACCAATAATTAGTCACTTATTAACAGCCTATATTTTACTATGCCAATCGGCTGGTATAAAATACCCAATGGTGCCCGTAAGATATCTCAACCGTAGTCGGCACTTAGTCAATCTTCTATTAGTATTATAATACTTGCAGTTTATGCAACAAACCAGACAATCTTTGGCATTATTACAGAGTAAATATATAAGGGATAACTTAATTATGACTTATCGGTGACTGACTTGGGCTTCATCGATACCATTCCCAATAACCAAATTATTAAGCCCAAATAGAATTGGTCTGAGATTTTGTAGGTCGTTGCAGAAGTAGTAGACTATATGACATTTGGACTGATCCTTGGCTCCCAACTATACCACGCCCACGTCTTTCTCGTCTGTCCTGAAAAGTTGGGAGCTGATCACTTCAGAAAACAGGATGAAATCCGGTGTTGTATCCATAGCCCAATTACCGAAAATGGCAGAGAGAGAGAGAGAGAGAGAGGGAGAGAGAGAGAGAGAGGGGGGTTTAACAATCACTCGACACAAACTAAGTCATTTGGGGACTAACATATGGTCCAATTTTATTTCAATAATTCGCTTGCGCATAGGGGTCTTTAGCATTGGGGGGGGGGGGGGCGAACCGGAGGACCCGGCGAAAAAACCCCACGGGGTTGGCCAGGCGAGCCTACTCCTTGTCGGAGAATCGAAACCAAGCCATTTGACTCAATAACGGACCGTCCGATACAACGCATACGCGTTAACCATACGGACACCCAAACCCCCGAAAATGGAAGATAATGTGCACTGAATGTTATATTATTCGGACAAGCATTTTATCCAAACGCAAATCGATCGGAGATACTGGAAAATAAAATCTAGTACACTTGATTGAGTTCCGGGTGATCTTACCTTTGCTCTGGTATTTAAGTATTGCTGTGAGTTTAAAAGAAAATATTTAGCCTACTTCTTGCGTAGATATATGTCAACATCAATGCAGGACCGTATGTAGGATTTTAAAAGTGGGGGTGCAGCAGAGTGGTGGGGCGCCATAGCCTCCGCGTATGTGATAAGAAAGTTTCGATCAGGACAAACGAACCCATTGGTGTGGGCGCCCTTAAAACCGATCGACTGATCAGTGCCTTAAGAGCATCACTGTGTGATCATAATCAAGTGTATTATTTCATAATTTAAAGATTGTCAAATATTTTTTTTTTTTGGGGGGGGGGGGGCGCAATTTCTCGGGGCGCCTTATTTTTCTGGGGGTGCAATGTACCCCCTGCACCCCCACTAAATACGGCCCTGCATCAATGCTATTTTTTTTCAACAATAGAGCTTTACAGATTGTGTTATTAAATGTTTCACTGTTAAAATTAATAATTAAAATCTTTGTAATAAATTCATGTTCATGTAAATGCTATTATATCCCGGATTAATATGGAGTATTTTAGACTGACACTAGTCCACTCCTCTTATTCAACACAACTGAACTTTTATAGTAGAAATTTAATACTATGCTCTTTGCGACCATATTGTATCTTTAATTAATTATTAGATTTACATATTGTAGATAAGTCATATCCCACGTACTCAAATTAAAATTATTTTAGGTGAACCCAGAATATCATGTTTATCACTTGTGTTGGAATATTCATGTTGCATCATCTGGCTTAGTAACCAGTCATCATATTAATTAATTACGTAATTTTTGTCCAATGAAATAATTGACGGGGCTATCTCAAGGACACTGTCTATGTTATAAGCGTGATTTAGGTCCTATAGATTTTAGACATCATTGGGTTCCGGACAGATACCATGCAAGTTCCGTAGAAATGACCATCTGAGTTTCTAGAGACTGTCGCCGAATTCTCAGAGAGGGTAGACATCGCCTTGGTTCTTGAGATGACCATATGATGTAGCGGTTTCCTGGTTCTGGCCATGCTGGTTTTACTTTTACAGTAGTTTGGGTTGAGTGAAAGATGTTAATTTTAAGTATGCTAATGTAATCTATTATACATTGTAACCATATGTATCCAGCTTGACATAAAAATGTAGAACTGAACTGCTGCATTGTTATTCATGGTAAGACAAACGTCTTAACTACTGAGATAGTAAGAAGAAAATACACAACGTGAAAAGTGAAAAGGAATCCAGACAAGAGAATTATAAATACTAGACGATCACAAGGCTATTAAAATAATATGTAGCAGAATAGAATTTGCGTCACACGTTGGATGTGGGGAGATTTGGGCGTGCGGGCTTTCCACATCTAGCCAGCGAGCCACAGCACGCATAGTGGAACAGACGGTGTCAATGATCATTTATTATTTTTAATTACATGTTATAATTTCTCGTTTCAGGATGACATTCTGGACAACTCCAAATCCACTTCGACTCCCTAAAACTAAAACAAATCATTGGTCCAAAATGAAAGTAAAGGTAAGACAGTGAATCAGGCCAACCGATTCCAAATCTTAATATGGTTTTTCTTATTTTACGAAAATAACTTTTCGTTTTTGACAAAGACAAGTAGCACAACGCTTTTGACCCTTCCATCCAGTCACCCCTAATAACAGATTCTAATAAGTTCATTTTACTTCTAGATTCCAATATGTCCAGAAATTACCCCCTTTCTCCAAGAAAATCTCCCGGGCGCCGCGATCTAAATAGATTATCGTATTTGTAATATCAGTTTGTAATCAGACCTATATAAGTGTCATTATTAATAAATAATTGATTGAATAATACCACATTACCTTAACATTTGGTTCAAGATAAACAATTTAAAACTGATTAATTATATTAATTACAAGTCATGTCACGCTATACAATTCTTATAAAAGCTTTAAGTAACGATTTGGTTAGATATTACCATACATGTTGTTGAAAGACAGGTAGGCAGTAGATTTACTAATATTAATTACAGGCGAATCTATTTCTGCAGATTAAAGTTTGTTCGCTTTTATTTTAATTTTCTTGATAGTTTTTAAGATATTGTATTTTACTGTATAATAAGTGTTGTCATTTTGGCTGTAGTACTGTGGTATATTGTGAAAGTAGCTTGCTATAATAAGACAGTGTCATTTCCATCTGTAAACTCCGCGTTTCTTATCCTCTGAAACGTGGTGTTTATTATTTCGTCATCTAGAATACTTGAGTTAAACTATACATACTTATAGTTTTAGCAGAACAACATTATTTACTCGTTTTCAAATTTCAACACATGTCAATCTTGATATGAAATCACCTTGTATGTAGTATATCACTTGATATGGTAGTTTGAGATGTTTGCTGGGATGGAGTGGCCTAGTGGTCTAGAGTGTCGCGCTTCGAGCTCTAATTTGCAGGACACCTCTGGCTTACTGTCGGGGGGGGGGGGGGGGGCTAGTGGTCACCTCTGACTTGCTATCCGATTTTCACGAAATTCGAACTCAATCGTCATTAGGGATTAACGGTGGTACATTTAAACGATTTTTAAAATTGGATAAAAATTGTAAACTCTATAGAGGGTCCACAAGCTAAAAACGCTATTTTTCGTACAATTGGGGACATAATCCAGGAAGTTACGGTACGATATGCGAAAATATCAAAAGGAATCGAGATCTTTGGTGATATATTCAAACTGTTATTTAAATCGGATAAAAATTGTGACGTCTAGAGGGACCACAAGTTAAAACCGCGATTTTTCGTAAAATCAAGGGCCATAATTCAGGAGGTTACGATCCGATAAGCGCGAATATCGAAAGGAACCGAGATCTTTGGGTAATAAACATACATTTTAAGTTATATCAAAATCGGATCAAAATTGTGACCCCTAAAGTGCACAAGCTAAAAACCAGGGCCCTATTTCACGAAATTCTAACTAAAGATAAAATCCAGATTTTAGTAGATACTTCAATTTTGATTGGCTAAGCACTAAAATCAATCTAATATTATCCAATCAAATTACTAAAATTTGGATTTTATCTTAGTTAAAATTTCGTGAAACAGGCCCCTGATTTTTACGTACAATCAGGGGCCATAATCCATGAAGTTACGGTCCAATACATGCCAATTTCGAAAGGAACCGAGATCTGTGAGATATAAACATAAGTTTCGTCAAAATCGGATAAACTTGTGAACTGTGTACCGTAGTGTCCAAATGGATGATAATTTTTATGTAAAAAAATATTCATATTTTTTTTGCCGCCAACTGGAATATTTTATCTGCCAAAAATACGTGATATGTAACAATTTTGTGTCTCAGCAAGGCTTATTATAAACAATTATCGATATATACAATACAATATACAGCAACTTTAAAAATATGTCTTTACATAGTAGATTAGCAAAGTTTGGATTTAATAAGATCAGGTTTTATTTTTGGTGATTTTAATTTTTAAATCTCATCCATTGCCAATTTTCTATAAATTTATGTGTTGCGTGTACAATAGGCCTATTGTTATTTTCAGCTACCGCAAAGGTATCAGAATCTGAATCCCCGATAGAATGATATAAATTTCAATTATGTTTGTAAGAAATACTTACAATTATTATACCCGTTGTTTACTTTTAGGGGGGGTTGGATGGCTGAATGGTTAGCGTGCGCGCGCTGTATCATAAAGTCTGTCATTGAGTCGACTGGCGTGGTTTCGAATCCCCGGTTGTACGTGGCAAGGAGTAGGGTCGCCTGTCCAACCTCGTGGGTTTTCTCCGGGTCCTCCGGTTTCCTCCCACTGCTAAAGACCCCTACGCGCAAGCGAATTATGTAAATAAAAAATTAAACCATATGTTAGTCCCGAAATGACCTAGTCTGTGTCGAGTGGTCGTTAAACCCCATTTCTCTCTCTCTCTGTTTACTTTTAGAGCATTTTGGCGACGGTATTGCGATGCGAATGACGAACTGTTTTCTCGCTCAAGAATCGCCGCTTTTCAACTCGTTCTTACGTTTTCGACAAAGTGGTGATCATATGATTTGAAATAATGATATCCGATAGGCATGCTTGTATATTTTACATGCCGTATATGAAACCACAGTAAACGGAATTCAACTATCAAATTATTTAATTTTGATTACATGTATTACCATTTTTTTTAAAGACGAAACGAAACATCAAATAATCATCGCTTGAATTAATCATTTGGAGAAAATAATGATTTGAGATAGGCAAATATATATATGATTGGCAAATATCAATCAACTTGTTATTAATCCAAGACAACTGGTTAGTATTACTCATCGACGCGATCCGGACTATCAGCCAGTTAATTAATTGAGCAACGTGATTGACATTCAATAATGGTTAATCCAGGATAAATACGATTATAATTTTAAGTTTTTTTTTCCGCCATTTCTCAAAAAGAATCACTGGTACCGCAAAACATTATCGCCAAAATCAAATTTTTATCGCCACTTTCATATTTTTATCGCAAATTGCGACTTTGGCAGCCGACTAGACGATAAACCCAATTTCATTTTATTTCGGTTTTAATACTGTACTTTATAATGTATGTTTAATCTGTATTGTGTTCTATTTTAAACTTGGGGAATGTGAAAATAAAATATAGGCTTATATGACTGGGTGGACTTATTATTAAGGTATAGTGTGGTAACTTTATTTACCAAGCTGTAGATCTGGTATATACTTGAACCTGTAGTTTTTCTACACACACAGCATGTTTATCATCCAGACAGACAAACATTTGACATGGGGCTTGAACTAATTTATAAGACACGCTGTAGTGTATTGTGTACTAATATTAGTTATACGTGGTTAAAACACACTCTTCTTTTGACCGTACAATGACGTAGAGAAAGGTAACTGGCTATTGCCTGTTGAAACAGGTGTAATATCATAGTTCATTATAGCTTCCCATCGTGGATTTGGTGGTTCTCGGTTGTAAATAGCGGACCAACGTTTGGTAAAAGCATGGGCCCTTACACAGGGTCCAGTGTAAAGGCTTCCACAACGATACCACTACATTATGGAATAAGTGTGATGAAACCCCCCAAAAATGAAAAGAAAGATAGATATAGATATTATGGTAAAGTTTAAATGTGGTCGATATAATGGTTAAGATATTATTGAAATTAATTATCTAAAAGTAATATTGTGGTAAAAACTAATGATATTATACTTAAAACTAATGATATAATTATTATTTATAATTGTAAAGGTATTATGAATGATCCATGTTATGTTTAAAACTAATGTTACATCATACTGCTATGGTTAAGGTTAAAATTAATGATACTTGTATATATATGGTGGATAGTGGTGAAGCGAAAATTATTTTGTGTTTTGCCGTCCTAAACTACCAAATTGCTAACCGAAAAAGGGATATTTTCCTCAGCTAGTCCCAAAAGAAATGAAATGGGGTTTAATGTCTTATACTGTTCTGTACTAATCGGGCTAAACTCTTATTTCGAATTCCAAATGCCAACATGGGTTCTTTTTACGTGTACACGACGCACCCCATCAGAACGACTACAGACACCGTTTCTCGCCAGGCCCCCGTCCTCCCAGGGACGGATCCAGAAGGGGGGGGGGGTTGCCCCCCCCTGCTCAGCTACATAAAAAAAATTGTAAATCAACACTTTTTATGAGAAACGTTTCTCGGTCGTGTGCTTTATCCTTTATCGTCAGATGTGGGACAGGATGGGCACTCAAAGCACGAGATAATGATATAGACATTATGTGATATCACAATTACTGCTTTGCATCCATGAAATTGAATCACAATGTCATTGTATTAATTCATAATAAAAATTGACGTCAAACGAGATGTTGAATTTCTCTGTTTAAAAAGCTCAATGTGTATGTTTATACGCCAAAATGACGATATAGACCATGCGGGAGGGGGGGGGGGAGATACATTGTCTCAGGAACCTGGCAAACCCCCTCCTGCAAAAATTCCTGGATCCGCCCCTGCCTCCACCACTGGCAATGGGGAAACCACATCGGAATACCCCGAGGAACTTTCTCGGCCAACACAGTGAACGTACGCTGGACCATCTGGTTAGCAAACAGCGTCTTACTAACTGAGCCACCACGGGCCTGCCCCCTAACTAATTGCCACCACAGCACAGGTAACAAAGCATGTGGTAAATGTATACATTTCCTTGTCTGACAAGTTTCGTTTTCGTGGATAGACGATGAATAGTTTTATTTCATAAAGATATTTGCAGGTGAAAAATTCTGTATAATAAAAGCTGTTTACTGACTACTGCGGAGGTTTTGCCAGTAAACGAATTCTCTTGTTTAAGGACTATATATTTAGAATGACTGTGTCCTAAATCAAATTAAGATTTCAAACAAGATAACCAGTTCCAGTAAGAAATTCGAAGACAATTATTTCAAACGGCAAACACGTGAGAAACGACTCGACGGAGCCGAGCTAACGTAACAACAACCGTATACTCTAAAATCTATCTTCCTGAATTAATATTGTATATTATTCAAAGTGGTTTTTATTGAAATCACAAAGCTGCACGAAATGTTAAAATCACAATCACAAAGAACTGGGAGAATATTGTTTGATCAAATGTCAAATAAAAGAAATTGGAATAATGGGAATATCTTTCTACACGTTAAAGGAGCGGAACGTCTAACTCAGTATTTTCCATAAAATTCTAAATAAAAAAACACGAATTAGAATTCAATATTGGTCTATTTCAAATAATATTGATGTTGTTATTTTGCTTTGAAGAAAACTAATATTTTAAATATAATGAAAATTTTAAAATCAATACATGAATCGTGTATTCTACGGTTTCGAGCGCCATTTGTAATGCACATAGAAAATATATCATGCAAGACAATGTAGAAGTAATTAGTAATGGCTAATTAACAAACGAAAAACTATGATAAAACGCGTAGAGTGGAATAAGCAGGTGTAAACGACCGCCGTTCAATTTGGACAGTTCACTTATGTCACTGAACATAATACATTAAAAATGACAATAAGAAATGTAAAAGTTGAATATAAAGCACTTTATATATATTTATATTACATTAATATGTGCTTTTAAAGTTTTAGACCCATTTTCGTCTATTTTGAGGTTCCAAAGAATAGAGCTACGTGCACTTCAATATCAAATTTAACAAGCCAATAGCGAGGTTAATGCCCCCTGCCGAAATCCCAAAATAAATAGATGACACATATTATATTATTAATTAATTGCACATTAGAACATTCTACCTCAATTAGGAGAGTTATTGTGTTCCATAGTCTCGACTAATTAGACCGAAGTCTCTATATTACCTAAGCAGAAAATGCTCTGCATGGAACTTTGTCATAAGGTATTGATTTAACGAAGCTATACACGAAGTTAAATTCAGATTTTTACCATTTCAGAATAATGTCAGTGAAGAATGTGGGGATACAGCTGACGTGTTTGGAAGAATTCGAAATGGAGGTAATAGATAAATATTATTGTAAATCAGAACTATAGAAATGCATAACATGGGGGGGGGGCATTTTCTGTAATTCTCAACCTCTCAATGTACATATACCTATAGCCAGTCTTTTCAGAGATCCCATCGGATCTTTTCAGAGATCACATCTATTCTTTTAGAAATGTCTCCCGTCTTGCTCCAGCCACAGTAGTGGATCGTCCTAAGGCCTTCCTTTGAGGAAGATTTGTAGTCATTTGAGTACAAAAAAGTTACTGGCCTATAACTCCCTTAATTTCCAATTAACTGACCCCAGATTGTACTGTACATACATGTAGCTTAACATATAATAAACCAATTCCCATTGAGATAAAGGTGAAACCTTACCGTATAATTATATGATTTGCGAAATTTGTGTTCACTTTAAAATGACCGCCGAACCAGAATCACGTGATATGTCACTCGAAAATACAGAAAAACTGTTCGGTAAGATAAGATTATGATTTCAGTGTTCCTCTCTTCACTATATGTAAAATAATTACTTATTTCCATGCAAACTGTGATGATATGTGTTGAAAATTTTAATTCAACCTAATTTTACTTGTCCAAAGCCTCGAATAGTGTATCAATTGCAGCCGTGAATAAGAATTATCACGGCTACAAATCGCAGCTACTATTCTTTCTGAAATTTGTTCTTTGTGGCCATGATCAACTAGAGTTCCTATAGGACGAATTCCAAATGATTGCGTAACTCATCGAATTGGTGCATCTCTAAGAAGTAAAATGTAGATTCATTTTTTATGTGTTTGGCCACACGTTATAATACTTTTGAGAAAATAATGGTGATCAGTTCACTTTCTTCAAGAACTTTGGAGAATTGTTAAAACGGTAAAAAATACTACTTTTTATTTCAGATGTATCTGCATCATGGGATCCGTCAGTAACCCTGAAACACCATAAACAAATGACCCTTTCTTCAGGACCAAGTAACCCTTTAGTAGATAACCTTCATCCAAGCGCTAAACCAGCACATCGGACATCTTTACCTCCCATTAAAACATCTTACAATCAGAGAGCTAAAGAAGGCTTCAGATTCTGGTTAATAGAAAAGCCCATTCCAACAAATTGTAAGTAATCTTCAGTTTTCATTTTATTTTATATTATATATTGTCATGTGGACATAATAATATTATGTTGTCGCCCATGTCCACTCGTTCATATTTGTTTATGGGCTCTCGATTTTAACACGTATCGAACCGTAACTTCCTAGATCATTGCCCTTGGTTGTACAAAAGTCGCCTTTTAAGGCTGTGAACCCCCGGGAGGGCACAATTGTTCTCCGATTTGTATACACCCACATTGAAATGTGGTCGTAAATTGTCGTCGCCCCCGTCCACCCGTCCGTCCGGCCGTCCGGCGTCCACAATTGCTTGTGGACGCTCTAGAAGCTAAAGTTAATATCCGATTGACTTTAAATTTATACACAGTGTTTAAGGTCATGAGACGAAGAAGCCTATTGATTTTCAGCGATTTCCGATAATTACTGCCAAAGTTATGGCCCTTGATCAATTTGAAAAATCTTGTGACGCTCTAGAGGCTAAAGTTATGATCCGATTGACTTCAGATTTTAGTGTATTATAAAGGTTTCATTATCAAAATAAGTAAAAAAATATGCGACAACACTTGTTGACTGCCCGGACGATTTAGCTGCTGTGGGCGTATGTTTCGTTGCCTGGCAACCTATCTTTATGAAACTTAAAATATTTGTATATCCCGATGTTCTTGAATGGGTTCGATTATGTTGATTATCGGAACGTAGCTTCTTGGATTATTGTACCTGATTGTAAGAAAATTGTTTACAGGGCTTGTAGATCATGTTCCATTGACAATTTTTATCCGATTTTAAATACCGCTCAATGATAATAATATGTTCATTACACAACAACCATGGATGAGTTCGATTTTCGTGTCTGTAACTTCCGTTTAGGCCCTTTCCCGTTAAACAGATAGAGGCAAAAGCGAGATCAAGCCTTCTATTGAAGATGGTTATATATACATATACCAGGCTGTTGACTCTCTTATATAGAGTCCATATTTTTTGATTGATTTAGATGAAACTTAATATATGTGTCAAGGATCAAAAGATTATGAATTAGTTCGATTTGGTGCGCACCAAACCGCAACTTCTTGGGTTATGGCCACTGTCTTTTACGTAAAATGCGAAATATGTACAATTACCTTCTGTACAACCCCTTAACAGATTTTTCCTTCTTCGAATGTGATATGAAGCATTAGGACTGATCGAATATTAGCCCCAGTGATTTTCAAATTTGGTGTGAAGCATTGAAATCGGATAGGATGGAGTCTGTTAATCTCCAGCAATCCAATACTTTTTGTTCCAGAAAAACTTGTCAACGCGCTGGAGATCAGATTTCCCAGATCCTTATCATAATTGGTCAACATCCCAATTTTCATTTCGGTTAAGCTGTTGTGTGGGTGTATTTCCACGCTTTGCGTGGTTAACTTTTTAAAATGAAATGGGGCTTTACGTCTTACGTTTCTGCACCCACTGGACTAACGAAGAAGGTCATAAGTCATACAGTATGCTATGAGGGATACTTTGCCTGGACAGCCTACTCATATTTCGAATTCCAAACGGGTTCTTTTACGTACATGCCAACGTGTACAGGAGTCCCCGGATCTTCTTTCCGACTATAGACGATGTTCCTTGCCAGGTCTATCGCCCTGCACTACGGACAGAAGGAAACACTTTTGGAAACTTTGTCGACCAACACCGGGATCGAATGAGGTTATCCATTCAGTTATAATTAAGGAAGAGTGTTGGCGACTTCCAATGCGCGTTTGTTTTCGTTCAGATTTTGACGTTTAAAGTCTGTGTACCTGATAAGGGAAGGGTGCCTTAATGGGCGTTTTATATTCATTTGTATCCATGAACGTCGAGACTAAGATTGTATCTGACCGCTTTATCCATTAAGGTAAATGCTTATTGGTCTGCTATCGCAGTGTTGTTTTTGTTTTTAAATTATATTTTCATGATTTAAACATTTCACTAATAATTCTAGAACTATTGTTATTATCTATTCTTATTCCAGTTGGTAAATATGGTATTGGTAGTTATAAAACAGTATTAGGAATCGGTAATGCTCCAAGAACATAAAGCCAGGTTTACACGTGCTGTAAAAGTGATGGATTTTAATGTTTAATGAACGGTGTTGTGTGGGGTTAGATCTGAAATCTCATATTCAGTGATGTACCTTTTGGTTGGAAATGAACAAGATCTCAATATTATGTTATCGGATTTTCCACTGTTCATCACTGGCATATCTGTCAGAAAATACCTCTTCTTCGAACATTGTATACAGCACTGAAAATATGGTAGACCGGATCCAAAAAATACCCCGTCCATCTCATGCTGGATCTATATTTAATTTTTATTGTATTTTTAAAGCCAAAGATTACAAAGTCCCCGTCCATTTGTTTGTACATTTTGTAATTAATTGTACGTTCAGTCTGTTTGCCTTCATTTAACATGTGACAGTAATGTTGTTTCTTTTTGCTTGTAATCGTGGAATTTGTTTATTTAATTCGTTGATTTATATTGATGCTTTTATATATTATGTGTGTTATTTTATAACCTATTAGGATGATTTTAGCTGAAATTTATAATGTTTGATTATTGTATATAGAATTTTGATTATTTATGAGTGAAAACTCCCGGGACCGAAAACACTTCTTTCCTTATATCGTTTATTTTATACCTTTAACTAGATTTTTCAGTGACAAATTGAACAGTATGATCTTTCGTCGTTCAGAATTAGATTTTGCCCTGTCCTCTTTTTATTTGCAAATAAGACTGACGGTGTAAGAAATGTTTTTAAATAGTGAATGAAGCAGGGTATGTTGAGCACCTAGTACCACTGGTTATTATCATGCATGTTTTTTTTGTGTTTTTTTTTTGGGGGGGGGGGGGGTTCTTTTAATACTAGAATTAATAAAGAACAGAATTTACAATGTGTAAAACACTACCATCCTGAATTTAGATTGCATGTATATTAATATGTACATGTACATTTGTTTAGTCGCGCCAGATGTAATTTCGAAACTCGTTAAAGGTTGTAATTTAAGTATAAGGAGTTGATGTATATGGACCATATCATACCATACCAGTATTATTAAAATTATATATGGCGGTTTTATATTACCTATGTATATAAAACTGCTATGTGTAATTATTGTATTATAAACATGTAAATGGGTGTTCGTGATTTATATTTCATGCATTAAAATCATGTGTTGATTTACTAGTATTACAAACTTTTGTGTGTGTGGGTTTTTTTATCGGTTTGTTAGCTGTTGGGCATATTAGAACCCCAGTTAACAGACCACCTGAACTGGCAAAAAAAAAGCTTTTAGAATTCTAGATTGTTCATGAAAGGGCGTACTCAAAAGATCGCTATCATAACACCAAGTGATGCGAAATTCTATGCCCATGCTCCCAAAACCTCATAAATCACCCGGTGATGGAAAAGGAAAAGTAAGTGGGTTTCATATGGGTGGGTAATCTGAATCGACCACTGAGGAAAAGTTAATCTTTAAATAGCCCACCATATATGGAATCACCGAATTTTCACAAGGATTCTATCACTAAGATACTCGATACTATACATTGAATCATTTAACTTATGTTCATGAACGGGCGAAAACAAATTATCGTTGTCTGGGCCATTAATACACATACTACAGATTCCTATTCTCCTAGTAGATATCGCTTTACATTTACATGAATTTGATTTGTCACGTTACCTGAATTTCACAACTAGTAAAAGCGGATCTAGTCCCCCCCATCTAAATCCAGGTGTTTTAATAAACTAATTTTCAGAATTATGTCTCTTTGTGCTGTTCATAAGTTCTTTAAGAAACTGTTCCCACTGCCTGTCTATACTTGAATCATTTTCTAAGATTTGTGACTGAAAAAGTCCCATTATAATTCATCATTTGTGTGCTTTACGCCTTAGGCGCTCGCATTGTGCACTTTTGCTGTCCGTGCACCCCTACCCCCATCCATGGTCTCTGGATCCACCACCGCTCTACTAGGCAGGAGGTCCACGGTTCGATATCCGGATTTTCCTGCTTGGTGGTCCTTAATCAGCAGCCTTACAAGGAACCGTGTCTAGCTGATTAGATGAGACGAAAACCGAAGGATGTTAAGAGAAAAGTGGGACACTAAACCACATTTCATTCATACAGTGATACATTCCGACTTGTGGGTTTATTTATTTCATGCTCTCAAAATAGCCACACAAAAAAAAAAAATTTCGGTGGGGGTTACTCGTTGGCGTATTCGGTATCTTCTGTGGGACCGTGGCACAAAATATCCCAGGTCTCTTTGATAAATGTAGTCTGAAGAGGTGTGTGGTTCTGCATGACCCTTCATTTCAGGGGTTTGAATATGAAAAATACAATATCTATTATTAATAACGCTATTCTAGTCAATGTGTGGGGTTTCTTATCTGGACCAAATTCCAAGTTTCAATGCCGCTTACCCTTTCTGAACTCAATAAGCAAATGTCTGCTCAACTGAACGTTTAAGATCTATCACAGAAAGGTTATCACACACATTCAATGGCAATATGCGTTTTAAACGCCATGGAGCAAACTCGAGGACGTCCGATGTTAACGACTAACTACAGTGCTGTAAACAATTGAAAAATGTTATACACCTTGGCTGGAGTCCCCCAAGATCTTGGGGACCTCTGGTTCAGTCTACCAAGCCTTTAGGTAAATCCGGCACTTGCACTATAAAACAAAACATATTAAAACAAATGAACTTTTATCGTCTATTTATTTTTAAAAACAAATTCAACTTGATATCACATTTATCATCTGAATCACATTAAAGATATGATGATGGGTGATTATAATAAATAACAAACTTCTATATTTCTAATTCTTAATCACACATAACATACTTTCTGTCACAATCTAACAAATAATTACATTAACAATAAGGAAAGGGGAATATTATTTTGTGGACAGTCAGCATGGGACCCCATGAAACATCGCTTTTCTATACAGTGTTGAACTTGTTTCAAGAGCAACATCTGTTTTTTGAAAATGAAAGTTGGGATTTTTTGTTGGCCGTCCCTAGAGCGCTCAAGAGTCTGCAACCACTCATCCAGCAAAATAATGTTCAACTATTTTTTCATAACAACTTTAAACATGCATTAAGAAAATACAATCAAGATGTAGCTACAATCACAACTAAGGTGACATTATCTGAACAATGGATTATTTCCGGCAAAATCAAAATGTAGCTAACATACTTACAGAATCATGCTAAAAAATCTGAAAAGAGACAACTATACTCTTTAAACTTTCATTTGGTAGTTTCAACCAATCATATTATTTACAGTCAAACTACATACACTTAAAGGGGGGTTGGGTGGCCGAATGGTTAGCACGCGCGCTGTATCATAAGGCCTGTCATTGAGTCAACTGGTGTGGTTTCTAATCCCCGGTTGTACGTGACAAATAGTAGGGTCGCCTGTCTAACCTTGTGAGTTTTCTCCGGGTCCTCTGGTTTCCTCCCACTGATAAAGACCCCTACACGCAAGCGAAATAAAATTAAAAACCATATGTTAGTCCCGAAATGACCTAGTTTGTGTCAAGTGGACGTTAAACCCCATTTCTCTCTCTCTCACATATACTTAAATGTGCTGTTCACTTACAATTTGTTATAAATGACTTTCCTAGAAAGAATTTTCTGCAAACATTTGATTATACTGAGAGCCTGAGACATACCACTTTATAAATGGATGATAGCACCACAGACCAATTCTCTCAAACACAACAAACTGAATTCAACAAATGGGAATGTTGAAAACCACCATTCTATGGTGCAAACATGGAGTATAAAATGTAGCTTTTAAAAATCTATGGTCAACTAGTAACGGTTGACACCTGAACACAGAGAATGTGCCATTGTGTTAACTCAAGAGGACATGAGTATGACAGCCACTAAAAGCAGTATTGCAAGAAGACAGGAGAAGGGTCGATCCTGCATGAAGCCATTCACAGGTTTATATCCCTCACATAGAAACACTGCATGGAGCATGTGTCTGCTTGAGGTGGAAACAATTTTACCCCGTGTGCCTCTATGTCTCATCAAAACTTCCAATAAAATCAGTGGTGCATTTTCACAATTATCTGAATTTATGCACCTACTCAATGGGTGTTGTAATGTAATCTAAATTCACCACTGAATGTCTCAGCCAGTCAATTTCAATATTAATAGGAGTCCAGAACAAGGATTTACAACCAGTGATAATACTACTTGTAGAATGAAAATAAACCTAGTAGAAAATCAGAGCATACATTCTAGATCAGTGAGGTAGCAAAATTATATAATACATTATTTGATGATTGAAAGACTGGTCATGATTGCATAATATCCCAGGTATTAACTTCTACCAGGGGGAGTCTATATATTAGTCATGTTAAACTATAAGATGAATGAAATGACTTACAACTATAACATTGATATCTGGAACCATACAACTCCAGATATTTTCAATATGATGATTTAAGGTAAAATACGAAATTAAAGGCTTGATTCGTCATTTGTATCTTCGCTAAAATATCAATTTCTCACGGCTTAATACATGCTAAATATATACTCAGATTTATCATTTAACATTTAAAGTCTAGGAGCTTCTCATGGCTTAATACATGCTAAAAATATATTCAGATTGATTATTCAACATCTAATTAAGAAAACCAAATCAAAATACCAACGCTAGATAATCTCCCAGCTTGGATTCAATTGGATTTAAAATTAGACTCATCCGGTTTCTCTAGTTCAATAAAATAGATCTATAAAATTTGAAAATACTGAATGGAATTGAACAATTTTTTTGAAAAATCAAAACAGCAATGCCAGAAAATCTCCCGGTAGGGTTTCAATCGGATTTAAACCAGGCTCATCCAGTTCCTCCGCTACAGTAAAAGATGGCAGTGTCTTGTTGCGCTCAAACATCATAGATCGATGGAATGGAATCATTTTTTGGACTGATATACCGGTTTGAAATTAAACTTTCATAATATTGTAGTTTGTAAGAGATTCCTATAGAGCTAAATGATTCATCAAGCCATTATGTAATTAATTGTTAAAATCATCAGAACGTAAATCACATTCTGTGGTTACAAATGATAAAATATTGCATTAGCTTGCATATAGACAGACATTATGCCTATGTCATACATCTTTGAGTACTTATATCCCATGTAAATAACATGCTATGAGTATTTATGAATTATCTGCCCCAACAATTTATTAACACTCTCTCGTTTCCACACCAATAAACCAACTGTAGAAACTAATACAACCACTGGTATTATCTTTAATATTCTCTGTGTTTTCTTTTTATGTTTCTGGATTAAATCTGGTGGTTTACATTCTATCATCTTCATCTCCTATAAATAAACACAAATTATTACTCATATTGATTTCATTTAATCAGTATTCAAATACTTTTTATTTTCCATAATAATGCGATTCTATTTCCATCTACAACATCATTACCATGACTAATATTGTACAAATCTCCTATTAAAACTCGTACGTACAGATCTAAGATACTTCAGAGATAGTGGGTGTAACCGTCACCATCATGCAAAATTTTAATTGGTTGTCTATTTAGACATGGTACATGTAGTTACAATATTAGCTAGGACATTAGCTAATCTGTTAGGATTGAAATAATAAACAGAATTTTGAAAATTATAATTCAGCCAATTCATAGTAGAGCTGTGTTAATCAACAAGTAATTTCCAGTTTTAAGTGATTCTTCGGGTTGTGTAAACAACAAATCATCAATATCAATCAATTATATTATTCATATAAGCTGATAGGAAATTAATTAAAGCATACCTTATTTAATCTCTTTTGTAAATGTGTTAAATGTGTTTTTAAAGCTGTTACATTTTGGTAAGCATCATTAGTTTGTGTAACTAGATGACTAGGACTAATATTACCCTGAAATAAAAATACATAGCAGTACATACAATATTACATCCCATATAACAGAATATGTTGACATCACACATATCAATTAGTATGATTTTTTAGTCAGTAAACTTTGATTTGATTCACCATATTAATATTAAAACCTGTGTGCAAAATGAAACAATTCATCCTTGGAATCTAGTAGTACATGAACACTACAAGATAACATATTTTAATCTGATAGTCAGGTATATATGATGGGTATCATTTATAAATTGTAATCTAAACTAAAAACAAAGATTTCCTTTCAAAAGCATTGAATTTATAGTATACCTCTATATTAGTTAAAAGTTCTGGATTTTGTTTAAGCTGATCAGATATAAACACTATAGAACTGCTGATATACAAGATATGTTTAGATATATTAGATACCATAGCAACTGCATCAACACAACTGTAACAAAAATAATTAATCAAAAAAAAATAAAAAATATCTGGTTATGGTTTTGATCGTGATGGAAAAAAGCAGATTAGACTAAATTCAAAGCTCATAATCAATATTATTGTTTTTACAGGTATTTGTCTAAAATGACTCATTGTAACTAATACACTTAGATAATTTAAATCTTGTGAACTTGATAATTTGGAATGAATTTTCAAAAAGGGTGAGATTGTTCATTGGGGCATTCGGAGGAACTCTGTTGAACTACAGAATGTTTGGATAGTAAATTTTAATGTGTTTCACAGAGTTATCTTTCTGTTCCGATTTATACTTTTAAAGCTTGGGACAGACTCATTAATGGTTTTAAGAAAAAAAGAAAAAGTAGCTCTGTGGGATTTGTTCACAATGATTTTAGATCAATCATATATAGATAACTGCTGTCTATGTTCTGAATAACTGACAAATTTCAATAATGCCAACAGATAATTCACATTATAGTCTTTGTCAAAAGATGAACATTAAATGTCAGAGCAGCAATATCTATAGATGTAAGTTTAAATACCAACTGACAGAATACCTTATATGTTTATTATATCGTGGTGATATCAAACTTGTTGTTTCCCATTCTTTTTTATGAACAGTCTGTATTCCTTCAAGTAACTTCTTCCTAACACCAATCTGTTTTATACCCATCTGAAGACACAATTTTATAATATCATCAATTAATGGGTATTCTACATATTATAAACAGTTTGGGGTGTGGTGGGGAATCTGACATATCCACTTTAAATTGTATGGTCAAATATGAGTCAAGTGTTGTGTTCTTGACCCAAGGCTTGTGCATAATGAGGAGTGGGCTCACCATCGTGGGAACTGTAGAAATAAAATCTAGAGATTAGTTAACTTGCTTACCAAAAAATTAAGAAAATTACGTATTCCAGTGCTATTTTGCAGTGCTATTGATGATTCCACGCGTTGCAAGAATGTTGTGTATATATGGTTACTCTTATTATACACAATGATATTTTAGGTGGCGCTAGTATCAATAGCTGTGAAGTTAGGTATCCGCTAGTTATTTAGTTATTCATTATTAGGATTTATGTCACAATTCTGCGGTCTGTAATGCCGTAAGAGATGGTCTAAAACCGATGAATGTGAGAAATATACCGTGGATGAATATATATTTATAACTCAAAATTATCCAGGTCAGTGTGTTTTCTATCTAAGTTTTTCGGATGTGGCAAGTGCCATTACAATGCTCCTAAAAATATTTTTGTGTGCGCTCTGGAGCGTGAGTGCAATCCTCAAAATGCAAGGCCTGCATTCAGTATTTTGCTCTCAAGTTACAATGGAGAATAACATGTAGTCTACTATAGAAAGTAGAAAGATAACCAATTAGAATCAATACTACTTACATTGATGAGATCATCTTCATTTAAACACAGAAACATTTCAAAATCTACTTGTTGTTCTTGGAATATATTATTAAAGTCTTTGAATCCAAGACCACTCAAAAATAACTCCAACTCTCCAAATTTATCATAGTCTGTTAAACTGACCACTTCATTTCCTTGATTAATAGATGTACCAGTAGCCTCATCTTGATTAGCTGAAGTGGTCTGTGTCTTTAGTTTTGATTGGCTGTTTATTGCTTCACGTATAGTATTAAATAAACGTTTGGCTGTGTTTGTAAAACAGTAATTACTGTCTTTAACCTGCGTCTGTGGAATACAATCACCTGCCCCATTCTCTAGTTTTATTGGTGGATCCCTGAAGAAATAAGACACACAAAATAATTATAACTTATAAATCAATGTAACCCACGGATTCCTGTGTCCTCTCTTTATCTTACCAGAACAGCCATTTGTAAATAAACAGAAAATTCTTTTGAACAAAATTTCTAATCGTACCAAGCAAAACTGGAAATTGAATGTTTTGAAAAGAATAAATTTTGAAAAGAATACATTATTTAGTTGACTTAATAACACACATGAGATAAGCTGTACCTGACGAAACCTGACAGAGAGATTAAGTTTATACAGTTAAAACTACTAAAGTTACTTAGTAGAAACCAAATTTTGCGCGTACATGTACTTTTATGGGCAAAAGAAGGACACATTTATTCAATATTAATTGCTTCTGTCACCAGTATAGGCTGGGGACGTAAAAAGTCATTCATGTACCTTATTTTAGTGTCCAAATGATTTGTTTCTGCCATAACACCATTTGTTGTAGTTCCATTAACCTTTGTATCACCATTAACTATGGTTGAATTTTGTTGCTGAGGGAGTGGTTTCCCTTCTAACAATGCTATCAACTAAAATATACCAATTACAATCTTTTTGGCTATATGTGAACTCATCAAATGAAAAGTGGTATCAGGTGTTCTAGAAAGAGTAAGCATTTAGCATACTCAGCCAGTTTCACTCTTCCCATCAAGTAATTATAATATTATATTATTATGTAAACCTTAGGTTTAAAGTTTTGTCAACACTATACTTTTGGGATTGACAGGTTACATGTATGTGTGCCAAGACTTCTGTCTGAACATATCAAATCAATATGTACATGGGCAGACATAGGCTTTTTTGTCCCATCCAATGGACAAGACACACTTTCCCTGATAAGTGAGAACCGCTTAGCTTGAAATTTTGGACATTTTAGTCAAAAGGACAGTGCCCTATGCCTTGACTACACCTTCCCAAAAATCAAAAACTAATAAAGATTGATGTAATATGTGGAATAATTATTACTGACACATAAAATACTGTCTGCGTTTGTGATACCCACTAATTAGTAAAATAAAGATTGCTTGATGAGAAGTCAAACTAATATTCACTAATAGCAATAAATATATGTATGTACAACTTCTTTGAATCCAGTCAAATTGTGAAGTTTAATTTAGACATTCTTTGAATAAGATATAATCAATTAATTATTGATATTTTTATAACTTTTGAACGATTTAATTGCTGTAATGACGTACCTGTTGATTATCTTGTCCTATAGCTAGATCTACAGGTAATAAACCATCAGTATGTCTTAGTAACTTATTACATCCTTCATTTAATAATAATAAAACTACATCTACATGGTGTCGATGTGTTGCCCACGATAAAGCCTAAAAAATATAACACACACGCTGCACAATACGATTGGTTATATATTTAAACTTAATATCTTAAAGGTATATTGTCTTTTAGATATGAACTTAAATATTTATACATAAAATATTGCATGGATTTGTATATAAGTAAAAACATTATTATATACATTTAAGTTCATTTTCTATACATACCATTTATTGATGGAAGATCTAGACTTTTGAATGAATGAAATAGTTTAACGTCCTACTTTTCTGCACCAACCGGGCTAATGAAGACGGGCAAACGCCATACTAAGGATTTAGGTTTTTCGTGACATCAGAACAACTAGAAGCTTTTCCTTGCCAGGTCCTTCATCCTGCACCTTTGACAAGGGGAAAGCACACCGGAAAATTCAGGGGAACTTTCTCTGCCAACACTGGTATAGAACCAAGGACATGCTGGTTAAGAAGTCAACGCCTTATTCATTGAGCCACCATGGCACCCTGTGGATTTTGAATATATCCAAAGATATTCTGTGTACAAAAGAATAAATAATACTAACTGTCCATCCACGAGAATCTTGTTTATTTATAGAAGCACCATGATTAAGGAGAAATTTTACAACTTCTATCTGACCCTCACGAGCAGCATATAATAATGGTGAGATATGATACCTGAAATATCAACTATATGTCATATTTCATGTCAAATAAACTTATAAATACCACATAAATATTAAAAGATAACAGCCAAAGGATTTTGTAGCTTAGTCATCACTCATTAAGAACATTATAATAAAGTAGCAAGAAAGAGCAATTTAATCAAAAGAGGTCAACAAAGTATGAATCCAAATATGACAGCTCAGTTGAAACTACATAACTCAGATATGACAGCTCATTTTAAACTATATACTATGCAGAATAAGAAAGCTATCTCAGGTGAGTAACATGAGTTCCATGTGTAGTTATTAAATATTCAAATCTACTTAAAAAACAATGACGCACCTATCATAATCATTAATATTAGCTCCTTTCTCAATCAACAATCGAACACATTCAAATACACAGTCAGGATTATGATGTGATCCACAAGCTGCCATTAATACAGAATATTTATCTATAAAATACAATTTAAAACATTATGGTTTTGTTTAATAACAGTGCTTGTCCATGATAAACTAGGCTGAAATAATTATCAATGACTGCTATAGTTTTATATATGACGAATTAATATATGATAATAATAATATAACAAAACAGCTCTTTTATTACTTATTTGATTGCTACAAATATTTTCCTAATTCAGTAAAGAATTATCTGGAGATTCTAAGTGACATGATAAGGAATATGATAAAGTAGATACTTGTTTGAAAGTTGGGGTTCGCTCCATTCACCAGAAGGAAAGCTACAAGATCTGGATTAGAGGAATTAGCTGCATACATCAATGCTGTCCATCCTGACTGTAATACTGTATCTATTGGTATACCTGTAACATAATGGTATTCAATACAAATTACTTTTTCTCTGACTTACCTAATAACTCTAAATAATATTATCTAACCATTTTCAAAGTCATACAATTTGAAATTGTATCTTAAATCCTTATATATTGTATCGTTGGTATGTACAATGAATACATATAAGCTTAAAGCAGGTGAAATAAATTCAATAATACTAATATTTTGATAGTTCTGAAGTTAAAGCTTTGCTTCATCATCAATGCAGGTAAGGATTGTTTCATGTAAGTTTGATATAACAGCACCATAATAAATATTGCCATAAACTTTATTTCTGTATTAATAAATAATCATTTATAAACTATCAGTCTAGCTCATGTACTTATTGGATTGGTTAATATCTTCTTTTGATAGACAGGAACAAGGGGAGCATCGGTATTTTTCATAATAATTGACATCCCAAATGTGTCACTTATTGAGGTGACATGATGATTCAAGCCAATGAAATGAAACTATATTCCTTTTTTGCAAAATGAAATGAAATGGGGTTTAACGTCCTACTGTTCTGCTCCGAACTGGGCTAATGAAGACGGCCTACTCCTATATCGAATTTCAACTGTCAAGGGATCTTTTACATGCACGCCAATGTGTACTCGGGACAACGGTTTTTGCGTAACATCCGAATGACTAGACAGCTGTGCTATGATAAAGTGAAAATCTACACAAAATGATATTAGAATTAACAATATCTGTACAGGTTACCTTGTTTTAAACACTCAACAAGTTTATTCATATCTCTTTTCATAGCAGCTGCTCGAAAGTCCTCTAATGTAAACTTAAATTTTATTTTACTGCTCTCTTGTGGAGATTTTGGCTGGTGAAGTTGTTTATCATTCTGTAAGAAAAATTATATAATTTGAGTTTCATTATAATTCTATCCCCATCTCTTTTGAGCAAAAGATAGATACTTCATGATGAATTGAAAATGGAAGAACTTCAACAAAGACTTGTTTCAGAAAATAAATTAAAGAGAAGACAGAGGAAGAAATTTGAGACAACAGCAGGGACATTTTTTAAAATATGGGAACAGTATCAAAGTGTATCTTCATATTTTTAAGTTATATTTTTAAAATTTATTAAAATAAAGCCTTAAAATAGATGGTATCTATAAACAGTCCTACCTTGTTAAAGAATAGTCCTATTAATACTATAATTCACTATTACCAGTTGAGAAATTGGCAAAAATATCATTTTCAATTTTTTAAATTCAAGCGTTTGAAGATAGCTATTCCATGGGGGGAATAGAAAAACAAGGGAGGTAATTGTGTTATTATTTCCGGGGTCAAAGGATTTTTAAGTGGGAGAAGAATACCTATGATCGTATAATAGTGAATTGACAACCTATTGAGCAAAAGACATAGAAATAATTATGTTTTGACTTTCTTAGAAAATATGAAATTATCGCTTTAAAGGATATGGGTCGTTTGGTAGCGGTGTAAGGATGTGTTTGTGTATGGGGATTATTATTTGTTAATGACATTGTTATCGAATTTGTTATATTTATGAAATTGTTACTGATTATTTATTGAATTTGTTATACTTATGAAATTGTTATTTATTGAATAAAATGATTTACTTTGTTGTTTATTATTGAACGGACCAGCTCCAGCATGGAGAAATGATGATAAAGCAGAACTATTTCAGAATACTTTCTGTGTCCCGATAGTACTACCTTAACCAACGTATTTCTACAACCCAAAATTAAACTAAGTTGTGTGGACGACTCCACCAAAGGGCGTGGACGACTCCACCCGATTTTTCGTGTCAACGACTTTGCTTGTGGACGACTTGACTGGCATTACAGTGAATGATTGATAAGGCATAAGGATTATTTTTTTATGGACTTATATGAAGTACCTATAATAATTGCGAGATAAATCGATATTTTAAAACTGTAGACTATCAATTATCGATCTTGAAATCACTTTACCGACTACTATCGGTAACACAGGAGCGTAATTGAAAATGTCACCCACAGACTGTTGATTAAAAAAAAATTCAGACCGGAACCGGATACACTGGGCAAAACAGGCAATGCTTGCGCATGTCAACTTACCAAATCTCGACCAAACGAGATCACGTAACAATCAAAAATAATTCTACACACCAAATCTCGCCAAAGCGAGATTACGCGCCTCATAATAGAACTATTTCTATGACGCGTCTAATCACTGACGTCACATATTTTTTTACGTCAATGAAAATAATTCTCACACTTTTTTGTTGTTTTTTATACAATTTAGATCTAAATAAAAATCAATTTGGAAAAACTAAATTAATTAATTGCGATGGTTTTATATTTGACAATAATCAGCTTCGCTCTACTCAGGCAATGCCTGTTACATATCAATTTCATATAATTTAAAAAGTGGGCATTGTGCCCGAAGGGGAACAACTCCATTTATAAAACAGAAACTTTGTTTGGGCTTTGCATTCTATTACATTGAAGGTTTCCAATTTCAAATCTGTACCTTATTTTGTTTGGTATTATTATGCTTTGGCAGTCCAACAACAGGGGCTGACAAATGTGTATTGACATCGCCCAACTCGTCACAATCAAGGATAAATCCATCATCAAAATCGTCGTATTCCTCGCCTGCAGGAACAAAATCTGCCATGTTTTCTTGTGGTAATATCAGATTTTGACCTTAGGTTTCGTTAGAGCGAAACGAAATTTAATCCATAACCCATCAGAACTAATTTTTATGGTCATCATATTTTAAAATAGTTTAATCTGTATCATTCATAGACAAACTTAGACATAACTGAAAATAAATAGGAAATAATAATAACCAATTTCTCGATTATCTTTAAAACAACATTTACGTCTTCCGTGTAATGTAATGACCTTGACAAAATTTTGTAAAATCATTACTTGCTCTGAAAAATGTCGAAGTACTTGGAAAAGTTTAGCCGAATGCGAACAATAATTGCAGATAATGGGGGATTAATCAACTCGATTAAAACTATTTACAGGTTACAAAATTGTTTTAGATTATTACCATTATAGAAAGTCAGTCACATCTGAAGCAAATCCATCACTGACACTTCTTTTGCAGACGCTTGAGTCTTGACTGTAACATTAGCCCATTAGGACTAGGCTACCGGTACCGGATAGCATAGGCTATATATCAGTATACTGTGTTTAACGCTACAATTGATACAGTTTAAGACTCCTTACGCAAGTTTATAAATAAGTTCAAATGCACAATTGTCAACGCATATCATTACAGTTTGTATTGAAATAAGTAATTCTATCACAAATAGTGAAGACTGGAACACTAAAATAGTTACCAAACAGTTTTACTTTGTGGTAATGCGTTCTACATTTTCAAAGCGATGTTTCTTATGTGAAAGCCGCCATGACACCGGCCAGTTGAAATAAGTTCGGTAGGCGAGAAATTTCGCATAGCAGTTGGCTTTCATATCATATAATTATATGTTAAGCTGTGTGCAGTACAGTTTTTGGTCAGTTTATGTGTAAATTAAGGGAGCTCAGTAACCTTTTTGTAGTCATTTGACTAAAACACTTGCGCAAAGGAACTCTGTATGACGAGCCACTACTGTGACTGGAGTAAGGCGGAAGACATCAGTAGTGGAACCATTTCTACCGGTACCGTAGTATTAGTAGACTGGTGGTAATTTTTTAAGTCAGATGTGGTAGCTAGTTAGGGCCATTATACAGTGCCATCATTTGAAACGCATTCACTTCTCTCCGATTTATCATATGGTAAATTTCTTGAACTTTTGGGTTATCTAAAGAGAAAATAATTGATTAGATTCTTTGGTACCGTACACAAATATCACAGCACAAATGACAAAGTGGTTATTTATTGACAGAGATGAACTTATCGTTGCATTGAGTGGTGTAGTTTCTTTAGGAACTGTCTCTGATCAGACGATGTCCGCTGACAGCTCCTATCCCTTCCTATATAGCTGCAATATGAAAATACCGCTCATATCCACCTCTAGTCTAAGGTTATTTTGGAATCCTTATCGACTATTTTTCACCGTGGTTCATCTTTGTTTTTCAAAGGAATCATTTCTTGCCATGGCTGACACATTTATAATTATTCAACACTATTTTCAAGTAGAATTTTGTGATTAAAAACATACACAAAATACATTTGAACTGATCAGCCATGACGAGACCCGAACATGCGCAGACCGCATGTTTATTTAATCGGTAAATTGTACTTGAAAATAGTGTTGAATTTTTATAAATTTGTGTCAGATATGTTGAGAAATGATTCCTTTTGCAAGAAATAAAGAATCACAGTGAAAAATAGAAGGTAAGGGTTCCAAAATCGCCTTGAGAACAGAGGTGGGGAAGAGCGGTATTTTACCGTATTTTCATATTGCTGCTATATAGGAAGGGATAGGAACTGTTAGCGGACATCGTCCGGTCAAAGACAGTTCCTAAAAGAACCAAGAGTGGTGTTACTTGTTTCGTCCTATTGAGCTTAAATTCCTAGTGTTTATATTATGTATTCGCATCTTCTGTCTGCCTGCCGCGCAGCCCGCAATAAAATTAACATTGGCTAATAGCATGCATGATCTATCAATGAACAGATGAACCATTAGCTTAGAGCCTACATGTTGTTGTATATTTTAGATATAACTCCAATTCAGTTTTATTCTTAAACATCAATATATTTTATTTGTAGAACTGATGAATTAAAATCAGGACGATTGGTTGGTGAAGATGGTTTTGGTAACAAGTATTATGAAAACAAATCATATTTTATGGGTAAGAATATTATGAAATCTTTGCATTGCATTTTGAAAAGTACATAATTATGAGTAAGGAATATGAAGGATTTTACATTATTTATATTAATGTAGAGACCTTGAGTATCTGTAGGTTATACTGTACTTGTTTTATGTGAATGGGATTGAGAAATTGTATGTGAATGAGATTGAGAAACTTTACTGTTCAAGTTTAGCAGACCACTGAGAATGCCAAGACACTGAATGGCTTATTCATTTCATTGTAAGTAATTTAATCTACACATCATTTTGATTTCAGGTCGTAGTCGATGGGTAGATTATTCACTAGAAGTTAATTTGGATTATGATGGAAGTCAGGTTCCACCAGAATGGTAAGTGTTTAAAATCATCAAAAGTTTAGACAAGATGTGAGGGATCAGTTATATCATTAATAAGGAGAGAATTCCTTTCATTCATAAGGCAAGCATACATGGAATACCCGATTTGGAGTTTATATATGAAGTAGATAAAACAAATCCACTCATTCATGGCTAAAATCTAGACAATCTGTAAGGAAACCTGTTTTTAAAAAAAAAAAACTGTTCTAAATGAAGTTATTTTGGACCATCTTTCGGTTTAGGCATATTTATCCATAAATGTATTGTGAAATTAATTGTCAGGTTATTTGCAGGCTTACTTTAGTTATATATTTTTGTTTTGACAGTAAGTCAGGCATTTCAATGAATTCAAATCTGCTTACTTACAAGGTACAATACATGTAATTACAAATTACAATATAGTTCTAGTATAATTTCTTTTTCAGGCACAGATGGTTACACTATATCGCTGATGAGCCCCCAACAGAAGCTCAGCTGGTAAAAAGAAAATGGATGATAAATCACAGTGAAAACCCTACTGGTACTGATAAAATATATGTTCCTTACAGTACAGTTAAACCTAAAGTACAGGCCTGGAGTCCACCATCTAAATAATTCTATTTGTGTTGTGTAGTAGAATATAAGAATGAACTAATATAAGACATTATTTCACCATGTACAGTGTATATGGTGTGATTTATAAGTATTTATGGAGAGACATTTAGAGCCTTTAAGATTGTTATCTTGTAAATAATAAAAGTCTGTTGTATTCTTTAATCGATTAAAATGGACAAACTTCAACTATATATTTTTTTTTTAATTTTTATACACCCACATTTTCATGTGGACGTATATTGTCGTCGCCCATGTCCGTCCGTCCACAATTGTTTGTGGACACTCTACAGGTCATAATTTTAATCCAATTTCAACGAAACTTGAAATATAGGTTTATCTCCCTAAGATCTCGGTTCCTATCGATATTGGCATGTATCGGACTGTAACTTCATGGATTATGGCCCCCGATTGTATGAAAAATCACGTTTTTAACTTGTGGACCCTATAGAGGTCACAATTTTTATTGGATTTTGATGAGAGTTGAAATACATGTTTATAACCCAAAGATCACGTTTTTAGCTTGCCGTCCATGTAGAGGTCACGATTTTTATCCGATTTAAAAAAAACGTGATATATCACCATTACACACTAAGATCTTGGTTCCTTTTGAGATTCGCGTATATCCAAACGTAACTTCCTGGATTATGGCTCCTGATTGTTCGAAAAATCGCATTTTTAGCTTGCAGATTCTCTAGAGGTCACAATTTTTTTTTCAGATTTTAAAAAACGTTTAAATATTTCAGCAATTCCACCATAATGAGGGTTGAATTCGAATTTCGGGAAAATTGAAATGAAACTGCCCGACAAAATGGTCACTTTTTGTATGCAAATTGTGTAAAAGTATGCAATACGAAGGTTGTGGACCCTCTTGAGGTCACAATTTTTATCTGATTCTGATGAAACTTAAAACATATCTTTATATCCCAAAGATCTCAGTCCTTTTTGATATTTACGCATTTCAGAGCATAACTTTCTGGATTATTGCCCCTGATTGTACAAAAAATCCTGTTTGTTTTTAGCTTGTTCTCTATCCATCTCTTGCAAAATGTGGGCGTATCCTGCCTGGCAGCCGCTGGTTTTTAAACATTATAGATGTTGATGGCTAAAGGGGTCTTTTCAGAGATATACCCATGGTACTCCTGTTTACTCAAAGGAAAAATTTGGAAATTAAATTTTTCTAAAAGTGTGCAAATGTATATACAAGCTATAAAATGAATATACAAAAATTAAGTGTTTACTTAGTGAAACTTCATTTAAACTCCAGTACATTACAAGCCAATCATCCAACTCAGACTGACAAACCCATTTTAATAGTCCTATGTTTTCTCTTCCTTTGATGAGAATTTTACTCATGCCACTGCTTTTACAAAAAACAAAAATCCATTTACAATACATTTGATTTATTATGAGAAACCATTTCTTTTTAAAATCCAAATCTTTGGTTCAATTCTTATAGAGATCGGCGGAAAACGACGAGGCATAAAGCTCATTCCAGCAAAACCATGAATGGTTGATTGTAGAGTATGTGTCGACTGATAAAGTTTATTATTATTGTAATCTAAATCTGTTGCTGCCAGTAAAAGATGAGTAAATTTATTAACAGCTGGACCAATTGGTGGTAAATCTTCTGATTTATTATATCTGAAATATAATAAGAAATAGGTTTCAGCAGAAAGATGGAATGTCACCGAAGTGTTGTTAAATCTTCATATGATATATCCATCCATAAAGAAAAAGAATAACTAGTTTTAAAGTTCATAAAATCTTGCACAAGGATTTGAGTTCTAGGATACAATTAAACCTAAACTAAGATGTGAAATTTTGCAACTGCAAAACTAGAACATTTTGCATGTACCGGGACTGCACGTATTTAAGCCCACCCGTTATTTAGCCCATGGGCTTAATAACGGGCAAAAAAAAAACGTTTTTAAGCCCACGTGGGCGTAAATTAGATTATTGAATTAGAGTGGTCTCCCTTAACGGATGTTTGCTGAAACGTGCTATCCATGGAAAATCTCAGTCAGTTTTATATGCTAAGTGCTGTTAGGGGCGTAAATTAGATTATTGAATTAGAGTGGTCTCCCTTAACGTATGCAGATCAATCAACACTCATTATTTTTGTCCCTTTGTCTAGATAGCATTTCAGTGCATATAGCCCATTTGATATATATATATATATAGAGAGAAATAGGGTTTAACGTCCACTCAACACAAACTAGGTCATTTCGGGACTAACATATGGTTTAATTTTATTTCAATAATTGGCTTGCACGTAGGGGTCTTTAGCAGTGGGAGGAAACCAGAGGACCCGGAGAAAACCCACGAGGTTGGACAGACGACCCTACTCCTTGTCGCGTACAACCGGGGATTCGAAACCACGCCAGTTGACTCAATGACAGGCCTTATGATACAGACCCCACCCCCCCATTTGATATAGGGTTTCCCTTCATAACTTTGCTATGGATAGGCCAAATTTTACTTGTTATGATGTACTATCATATAAAAATCTATTCAACAAAATATACGATAACATGAAGCAGATAAAATAATCCAAGGCTTGTGCAATGTTTCATTTAATGCTAGTGCTAGTCTATAAGTGAGGGTAACCTCTCATTATAACATAAAATTATTCTTTAACTGTGGTATATTATGTATATTAATTATGTAGTTTACAATTTATTCAGTACAGTATTTACATGTACATATATTTAACCAATAGTTTTGAAATTTAAAGCTACTTACACCCAGTTATTGTTGATTTGAGTAAATCTTGTGATTCCTGTCTGTGCACTGAATACATCAATATGGACTTTGATTTTATCTATAATCGATAAAAAAAGATATAGATCTTGACTATTAAAATTTTTTTTATTTTTTGAGAATAATTCTCTATTTATGAACATACAACTTCTTACCCATGAATTGTTGATTAATTTTGATTAAAAACTTATAAATAGTAAAGGTGATTACGATAATCTATATGTTCCATGTTAAACCAATTTTAGTGTCTAGCTGTATACTACAAATATTATGCTTACTGTATTGACAATTGTCTTTCAACCATTGCTGTTTTAAAACCTATATTTATATAAAAATTTACCTCTTGAAAAACTAACATTAAAATCACAAAATTAAACTTAGAAGTACAGTTTTTAAAATTGAAAACCTTGCATTTTCATTTATAAAAGTGTGACAGTTGAAAGCTGTGAGTATATATACCTGATTTATTTTCTAGAGTATGTAAAGTATATAAAGAATGACCACCAGGATAATTATGATGTGATATATAGAGAAAACCACTTGTTGCCATAATGTTACCAACTAATAAACATATACCAAATAAATACATTATGGACTTCTTTCTTTTTATCCATCTATAATACAACAAATATAATAATTATTACAAGTCCCACTCATGCAATATGTCTTAACTGAAGCATCAAACTTTATCTGTAATTACATATACATTTCTAATTACTATCATCTTCAATATATTTTGTTTTATATCACTTGAACACTTTATAGAACAACCATCCCTTTAAAATACATATATATAATTTAGGGCAATAGTAGATCTTTATATATTCTAAAGGAATGGTATATCTAAGATATATTTCTTCATTCGGAATACATAATATAAGCTAGCTGGCTGCTCTGAATAGGTGTCTTGCGAAGTTATAGGGCACATAAACAATTATACATAAGCCATACAGTTTTATATGGAAAAAAAAAAATAGACATAGAAACATATACTTACAAATAATGAAGAGCAGCTGCAATTGCAACATTGAACACTGGGAAGGTATAGATGATAAATCGTAATTCTTTATGTGGTAAAAAGGAATAGAGAAAGATAAAGAGAATGGCTGGATAGATTAAATATCGTGTTCTTCTATCTATTAAAGCACCAAAAGGTACCAATACAAAGGTGACAGATAAAGCTCGTAACAGTGCTGAATAAAAATACCATAAAAATGGTTGAGTCTATATTAAGATTAAGGACTAATAATATTACAATGATCAACCATGATACTAAATACAAACATCATGATCTACTGTTAGCTATATGAACTTGCTACAGGGCAACCTACAGGGTCCCCTCAGATGAAACTTGCAGTATCAAGTGTTCCAGAAAGAGATATGCATGCACTGTTCAAACAGCTATAAATGGCAGAATAAAAAAAAATGACTTAGGAATATGTAGCTACAATTATTGTACAATATAACGCAGCACTTATAACATTCAGCCAGCAGGACTTTCAAAAACTGATGATTGAAGTATTTGTGATAAAAGATTGATATTTTTGACTATCTAAAATACAGAGAAAACATAGTCAGGGGATTGGCAAGTCTAATATGCTCACCAGCAGCAAAGTCATCAGAGAGAGAGTGAGAAATGGGGTTTAACGTCCACTTGACACAAACTTTGTCATTTTGGGACTAACACATGATTCACTTTTATTTCAATAATTCGCTCGCTTGTAAGGGTCTTTAGCAGTGGGAGGAAACCGGAGGACCCGGAGAAGACCCACGAAGTTGGACAGGCAACCCTACTCCTTGTCACGTACAACCGGGGAATCGAAACCATCCCGGTTGACTCAATGACAGACAGTATGATACAGCGCGCATGTGTTCTAACCATTCAGCCATCCAACCCCCCTGTGCTAGCTCTAATACCCATGTCAACAAATCCTGCACTGCAAGTATAAAAACACAAGCTTTAACAAACAAAATGTTATGATCTGAAAATCAATAGGGTTCTTCTATATTTCAAAAAATCTGTCAAGAACTCTGACCTGTATCACATTCACAAGCTGTTGCCAGACAACAAAACATACGCCCACACTGAGCAGCTAAGTCGTCTGGGGGGTCAACAAATATTGTCCCATATTTTTTCTTTTGTCAGAACATTTACAACACATGAAAATCTGATTACAGGAATGTGGACATATATTGCAGCTGTACCGATGCTCTTGTTTCTTTTGTCAGTAATGAGATCACATGAAAATCTGATTACAAGTAATAACCCATGAAGTTATTATCAGAAAATATTAGAATTTGTTTCGATTGTTTGTCTCATGGCATGACCTTAAACAATTTATATTAACTTTGGCCTCTAGAGCGTCCACAAGAGTTTTCAAAGTGATCAAGGATCTTAACTCTGGCAGTTGAAAATGAATAGGATTTTTTGTCTCATGATCTTAAACACTGTGAATAAGTTTAAAGTCAATCAGATTTTAACTTTAGCCTCAAGAGCTTCTACAAGATTTTTCAAAGAGGTCAAGGGCCATAACTCTGGCAGTAATTATTGGAAATGGTTAAAAATGAAAAGGCTTCTGCGTCTCATGATCTAAAACACTGTGTACAAATTTAAAGTCAATCGGATATTAAATTTAGCCTCTAGAGCTTCAACAAGATATTTCAAAGAGATCAAGGGCCATAACCCTGGCCGTATTGATCAGAAATCGCTGAAAATCATTAGGCTTCTTCGTCTCGTGGCGGGTGTGTGTGTTTAGCAAGAATTTGACTGACTGATGTACATGCCCCTAATATGAGTGATGCAGTCAGGAGTTGAGTACCTCTGCTGCGAGTTTTTTAGGGGACCCGGGGCATGCCCCTCCCCCCTTGAAGATTTTTGGGGTAATCTATGGGGAAGATTTTTACAGAATTCTGATGGTCAGAAAACACTTATAACATGAGTAAAATAAGATTTAATGTTTCTACTGGGATCTTAAGTTCAGTATAATTTAAAGATTTTTTACATGTTTCTGAAACAATCTTACGCCTTAAGATAAAACTATGCTTCCAATAACTTCTTATCAACTATCCACTAATATAATTCGTATGACAATCAAGAATATATTTGAAATATCAAAATCTTCGTAACAACCTCTCTCAATTGCTTAGACCAACATACTCATAACAAAATAAGAGGAAATTTTTTTTCCCCCAAACATTACAAGTTGACTAGGTTATCTTATACTACACTTTTACAATTAAGGTGTACGGATTCACACAAATACATATATTAAGAAAGAGTTCGCGAGAGAATCATGCAAAATTTAAAAAAAACGGCACAAGCGGAGTCGGGCGATTTTGACCAAACTTTGCAGATTTGGTCATTGGGTACCCTGTATACCCCACATGAAATATAAGGGTCACCAACCTTGTAGTTACAGAGAACCAGCTATGGCCATTTTAGAGTTAAAAACCCGTCATTTCAAATATTTCCCATACATTGTCTATTGATTTTTTTTTTTTTAATTATCTTTTTTATGAATGATCATGTGTACTACTTCAATATATATTAAATTTTTCCGAAAACATTTGAGGCTATGAGGAATTTATTTTGAGACGTAGTTTTTGCTATATGCTAAAACATATAAATTTCATGATGCTATATCTTACCCACTGCGGGGCTGAGGACAATTCTATTAATAATGGAAGTTGAGGACTACTAATACTAATATTTCGTTTTGACAAAATGACTGGCACGGATTTCTTTCATATTAAATTTGATGGTCGAACTTGAAGAAATTGACTTAATTTTTTACATCATTTTTCCAATAAAATCATTCATTGCCTGGATTATTAGGCCTGATAATGCCCCATGCAACCGCCTTCCAGCAACTCTGTGTAGGGCCGGTTTAGATGATTCGGAATTCCACAAGGATCAGTCCTTGGACCTGTCCTTTCTGTAATGTATACAAAGAATTTGGGACAACTAATCGATAATCATGGTTTCTAGGACGACATTCTTATGCAGATGATACACACCTGATCGCAAGTTATTCCCTTTCAAAAACTGTTTCATTCCCTAATTATTCTGACATCAAATTGTGTACACATGACATTAAAGATAGGATGACAAGAAATATGTTGAAATTAAATTTAATTGAATTAAGTAAATCAGAATGTATTTTATGTGGTCAAATACACATCTGAAAAATACAAGTTCAAATGATGTGGTTATACGAGATGCAATATTTTTACCATGAGACACTGTGAAGAGGTTAAGTGTCCTCTTGGGGTCCAATTTGAGCATGGACAGTCACATTAGTGAAATTTGTCGAAACTGTTATCTTTGGTCCAGGAACTTTAATAGCCAGGAAGCAGCTGCTACACTTATATGTTCTTTGGTATTCCCAAAGATTGACCACTGTAACAGCGTTTGTTAGTAGAAACATCTAGTGCCAATATTAAAAAAAATCAACTTGTAGAAAATACCGCAGCTCAAATTCTTACCAGATCATCAAAACACTCTCATATTACTCCTGTTCTGAGTTCAATCTATTGGCTGCCAATCATCTTCAAAAGTCTGTCTTTGACGTATCAGTATGTGAATCATTCACAGTGAATGGCTTAGCTCAAATATACTTAGCTAACTTTATGCACATACAAGTTCCCTCGAGTAACCTCCGGCCGAACACACATTCATCAGTTTTGTTGCTCAAGGTGAAAATTAATATCATTTTGATACGGATCGTGCTCAGTGAAAGCGCCTAAACTGCGTAACAATCTTCCAGAGATCATTAAATCATCTCAAACCCTTTCTTGTTTTACAGCAAGACTTATCAAGATTAATTAAATTAATTTAATTGTATGCGCAGTGGACATGCTTCTGTACATGGAGTAGGTGCGCTATATAAATGTACATATTAATATTATTATTATTAGTCAGGCCGAAGTTAGATTTGCACTCCAGCATCCAAGATGGCGGATGAAATCAGCTGTTCATTTTCCCGTCTTTTGCACAAATAAAATGCGGTTTAGTAGCCAGTTATCCGAAAGAAACTATAATAGCATATTCCTGAAGCAATAGCCAGAGAAATGCCGCTCTGGCCATTGCTGGATTGACTTCTGATACTTACGGTTTTGGGGGAGTGTGTCTATTCTTCCCGTTCAATCAAATCGCTCCTAAGTAAAGTCTTTCATTTAATCTGGGGTCTTCCCTAAAACTTTGGACAGTGATTTAAGGTATTAAAAAAGGTGTAAAAGTATTGTTCGTCTCCAAACAGTATTGTTTACATTATAGCCATGTTGATAACCTCGTTTTTCACGCAATTAGTTTTTCTGCAATATTCTGCTATGCACTGGTTAATTGGGCGTAATAAATTTCGTGAATCATGACGTAACGTTATGTTAACATATTTGAAACTGTTTAAACCAGAATGATATTGTTACGCAGTTAGGTATTGGTTGTTAATCGCACTATTGACGAGTCATAATTTGGAACAGAAATTTGCTTTCATTACGGCAGTGTTGAGTGGGATTAGGTCTAATCAAATTAAACACTGCAGGGAGTATGCTAAAATAGTGACCTTACGCTCATATACAATTTGTTTTTTGTCTTTTTGAAATATCGCTTGATTCGTTTATGAAGTATAGACAGATGTATATGACTAGTACGCTATTTAGTTTTTACGATTTGCTGTTGAAAAATTCATCATCCTTCTACTAGATCATGAGGTTATATTGCCGAATTAATAAAATGTTGACAAATAGTCTAAAGGGATTAATTGTATTTACCAAGAGCTACACTTTTGGCATTTACAGTAAATTAAGCTTTTCAAACTTCATCGTTTGAAAATTTTAACGGTGTAATTGTGAGCTCAGTTTTCGTGATAAGATACTTATTGGATAGATAGATAGATAGATAAATTTTAACGGTGTAATTGTGAGCTCAGTTTTCGTGATTAGATACTTATTGGATGGATGGATGGATGGATGGATGGATAGATAGATATATAGAAAGATAGATAGATAGAGAGATAGAGATAGATAGATAGATAGATAGATAGATAGATAGATAGATAGATAGATAGTAATAAGTATTTGTAGTTTTGATAATGGAACATTTTTTAAACTTGAATTTTTTGATGAAAGTATATAATCTGCGTTTATATTTATTTGTTTATTTCTATTTTTATTATGGCTTGCTCTTAATGGAACTGGAAACCACTTTAATTTAGTTTCAGGTGCCATGTTACACTTTTCAGTGTGTAAATAAAGCGGTTTATTTTTCGTCATTTTTGTTGAAAATCGTTATTTTTGTACAAAAATGGAAATTATTTACTACTAAACGGGTCGAGTGCTACCCAATTTTTTTCTTGATCTTAATACTATAGATCATTGCCTTTTCAGTCAGCATTCCAAAAAAATACTTAAACCCGCAGTGGGTGAGATATAGATAGAATAAAATGACATACCTAAATTGAGCTATTTTTGTACCTTGCAGCAATAAGTCCCTATACCAAAAACCGTGCCATGAAAATCCATCAAACTTTCAGAATGTATACTCACTAACCATATCTAATACGCTATAAAGTTTCAATAATCTACTCGCCGTAGTTTAGTTGTACAAAATTATTGAAAAGTGGCCTGAAAATGATGATTTTTTGGCTTTTTTCGGTCTTAAAATTTCAAATTTTTTTCTACGCTCTAAAAATGGTTCGATTGATCTAAAATTGTGGCAGTGGGGTTTGGAGGGGTTACCCATCATATATAAAAAAAATGGTGAAAATCGGTCACCCATCATGTGCCGGTCCCTGCATGGTTCTCTCGCAAACGCATTCTTAAGTATTTGGGATTATCCCCTTTTATTTTGGAATTGTTTGTTTACCTCATTAATGCATTTAGTCTGAGACTGACTGCAGTGAGCACTTATTTTTGAGACCGACTATTTTTTTTTTTCCCCTCGACCGACTACTTTTTTTGCTCGGGGTGCTGGAGGTGTTGGGGGAGGGGGGAGGGCACATTTACACCCCTGAAAGTCTGTTAAGAAATTTGTCCAGGTGGTAACAATAATATACAAAGGATACACCCCAGTTTGAGGATTTATTTAGAATAATATTATACCACCACACTTCTCCTTCTGGCCACAACCATCTTCTCCAGAACCAAGAATCAACTAAAACAGTTAATCCTGTAGAAAAAAACAAAAACATGATAATAGAATACTTTATTAGACTTTGGTCTGTGAAGAAAAATTCAAACTAAATTTAATCTACATTGTTCCTCCTGAAATTGGCACAGGTATAGTGGCATATTTGTAATATGAATTTGTTCTTTTTTTTCATAACAAAAATTGTCAAAGTAAAATGTATTTTCACATCCACTTCTGACTTACATCAGGCTACAAAATACACCCATAATGCTAATTTATGATACACAATCAATATTCGTAAAATACTTACCTAAAAGAATTACTGCTGCTAGTAGAGAATGAGCTATTAGGTGAGCCAGATATAACCACTTGAATTTTCTTAAGATGATACCTGTCATGAACAAGGGAGCCAAGAACAAAAACAGTTCTGAACGATAAATTATAATTGATGCACCTGACAGCCATATAAACAAAACATCTTGTTCACGTAACCAGGCAGACAGAGCAAACAAAACTGAAATAAAAACCGAAACATGATTAAAAATCTGTTACATATAGTTGTTTTTATACAGTAAATGGTTAAATTTTGATCAGATATAAATATATATATATATAATATATATATATTGTGCTACATATAATATTTCTTTGAGAAGGACTTCCATTTAGCTTGACGCTCAAATCTATTTTCTCATTTAAAAATGTTTTCATTTGCCGGAAGTGGGCAGGCAAACAGTTTGGGTGTTTAATCATGGTGTATTTAAAACTGATCTCATAATTTTCTACCCCCCCCCCTTCCCCAAATTGGAAATTATGTGATGATGTACCTGATAAAATCTGCTTCTGTTGTATACAAATAGGTATTACACTTACAGATTATGTTAAATGTACTTTTTCTAAAAATTGAAACTCAATTGAGTTCCTTCGTATTGGAGTTGATAATAATATTATTAATGATATGTGTTTCTGATGGATTAGATATTGGCACATACATAAACTTGTTAAATTTTTAACAGATTGGGTGCATTCCATTTTTGATTACCGTATTTTTCGGTGTATAAGGCGCACTTTTTTTACCAGGTATTTTATTTTCTAGAGGGGGTGCGCCTTATACATAGTATTAAGCAAATCTTGGCTTTTCTGTGTGTCAACATCGAGGTCTGAAGTTGATCATATCGACAACAGCAATAAAGATGGCGGCCATTTCCCATACCGATATCCCGTATACCGTTAGTCATAGACGACAGTGGCAACAATATGGGTCAATAGCAGTTTAGTGTTATTAAAATATCTGCAAAGATATCGTAAATAATTAGATGACATATTTTTCTGCTATTCCGACATTCCGATGTCGTCTTTTCTCATGCAATAAATATGGCGGCCATTTAAGATACGGTATCGGCTTTTCCGTATACCGTTAGTCATATTTCTATTATTCCGGCTTTTCCGTATACCGTTAGTCATAAACGACAGTGCTAACAATATCTGCAAAAATCTCGTTAATATTTCTATTATTCCTGCGTATTTGATGACATATATTTCTGCTAATCCGTTTACCGGTACAGTTAGCCACTGTCGGCAATCCAAACAGTGTGTCGTCAACGGTGATATCAGTCAAGTTGACGAAAAGGCGGGGCTTTCGACAGACAAAGAGTTTTCATTGGCTATTAGAAGGGTAATTTCCATTGAGCACACGCTCATTATACCATAGGCTATGGGTATTGTCTGTTACAATGACAGCGTGTTTTCTTTGAGCAAGACTGTCTTTTAGTAACCGTTTTAAGTTACCGACGGTTTTCATTCAACATGGATTCAGTGATTGGCCCATTGTTATAATTTACCGGTATAGTTAATTATCTACCAGTGAGTTGTTATCGTTTTCTTTATGAAGTCGTTTGTAGTTGACAAAATCATTGTTTCTTTGATTGGTATTAAAAATGCTATTGTATTATTTTACCGGTATAGTTAATTATCTACCAGTGAGTTGTTACCGTTTTCTTTATGAAGTTGTTTGTAGTTGACAAAATCATTGTTTTTTTGATTGGTATTAAAAATGCTATTGTATTATTTTACTGATAGATCTAAATGACTACAATCTGGGTATTGTCATGACGCGTGGAGTGGGCGGGGCAACAGACGCTATCGTTTGATTGTCAGTTGTTTGCATAACTTGGAGTAAACTGGAATTGTTGTTTCTCTTTTACCGGTAGTCTGGATTTAAGTTGTGAGTAACTGATCATGATATATTATTTCTACAGGTATTATTTAATTTGTTTATCATCAAAACCGATTCATTTATCACAGACAATTACTCACGAATTTAACACGATGTAATAGACGGCCATGTTTGTTGTGTTGCGGGACTTGAATGACAATTTCACTACCGTACGAGCAACAGAATTACAGCTGAAAGTTATGCAATAATGCAATTGCGTGTTATAATTAATATAAACAAATGTAACAAAAGCAATTTATTTCATAAAGAAATATAATTATATAAAGCTTGATACGGCTAAATATCGGTAATTATTATAACTGTAAACAATAGAGTTTGACCTAGTTACTGGAGATCGCAGGTGGATTTGAGTCACATATGCTATGGCACGAGTTTCACACGCGCTGGGAAAGGGTGCGCCTAAACCACGCATATTTTTTTTTTTCCTGAAACACCTCTGCCAAAGTCGCCCTGCGCCTTATCTACGCATGCGCCTTATACACCGAAAAATACGGTATGAGGAACTTGATGGAGCTTCTAACTGATCTTTAAATAAATTGGCATAATATCACCCAAGTCTCAAGTAAGGTAACTCCAACCTTTGAAAACATTAGCATCAAACGAATACCTTGAAAGGATAAAGATGAATGTGATATTGTACATCTAATATACTTGATAGGGTGACATTTTCTACAGTCTAATACTAACCTAATGCCAGGGCAAATACATTAGGTAGTGGTCTTGACATGTAAAATACAAAATGAAATTGAGTTAAACTGCATATTATCAACCATAATTTAACTCCTTTTCCAAACTTTGTACCCACAGCTCTTGTAAAGGAAATAAAACCAACAGCTACAACCATACCAAGCCAAAAACGAACTGTAATAAAACCAAGCAATACTGATTATACATAAGACAAAAAAACAAAAACATTTGTTTCAGGGTGATTGATATCTGACACTTTGGATTGACAACTTAAACATAATTCAACTCATTGTAGATAGGGAAGAGATGTATGCCTCAGCCATCACTTTAAAGCATATCTCAAGATATGGAGAAAATATTTGGTGGGTTGAACTGGGTTCATAAAAATATTAAATGTTAAATTTATCTGAAACATACATTATGCAAGAGCTAAATCTGCCTATTGCATGTCTTTCTTTAGGAATGAAATGTTATCTAAATAATTAGACATTAATTAACTTATCCAGACCATAATCAACTCTCGATGTCAACGCTAGCCTGTGATATTTATTGGAGTATGATCCGATTTGCTGCTCAACTTCATTCATGATTTAATCATGAAATGGATAATCAAGACTATATTTTTATCATACCAACTTTTGTAATAATGATCAAGGCTAGACCGAAATTTCAATCGCTTAATTCTTGGTTCATAGTGGATCAATTTTCAGCAAATTGCCTTTATATTATATAGATTTTAACTATTATAGTGAGAACTGCCAGCTCTTTATCTACTCTCCCATAATGTATCTTTAAGTATAGAATTGTCATTTACATGGAATCAATGTCAAAGGAGCTTGAGTACACAATCATAAATTTCAGCATATTTATTGGTAGATAAGTCCAAATAGAATTGTGTATTTTTCTGTTTTATTTGATCTATAAACACACCTAATTTTCTAATGCCTTCTAGTTAATCTTAGCTAGATGTCTTAAAATAATGTGATTGTGCACAAAATTCATTTTCTATTAAAACACATACTACTACTGGTATTTTTCTTGATTGATACCTTTCACCATAATTATGAAAGTTCTATTTTAAAATTCATATTAATGTTTACGAACCATGCGCAAGAGTGTTGTTTGTGTCCTTGATCATTAACTAACATGTATATAAGTTACTATGGAAAATAGTACCTGTACTCCTTTTTCACAAAATACATATAAAACTTACCTATGTATTGACAGAAGAATTTATCTAGGTATAAGTTTTGAGAGAGTGTAACCATTGGAGCTGATAAAAAGGAGATGACTAGTGGTCCGAGAAAACTTCTTGGAACAACACCAGGGAATTCAAGGTGATCATACTAAAACAACAAACACAAATAAGTCAAAATAAATGTTGAATTAATATGCTGAATACTGTAAACAATAAATTAATGGGAGCAGTGAATTAATGCTTGCAAGAAATCAATGTGCTAAAAGCAACCTACATGTATCACCATTTGCATTAATTTCCTTTTCAATACAAGCCTATTCTGTAACCAAAAAATATTAAATTAAGTGTAGCTACCAAATAAAATGAATAGATCAGTGATATCTCAAAATACATTTATTACGACCCTCTTCATATCACATCAATGCAATGATGCATTAATCTATTGTTTACTGTACACAGGATGGCTAAAACTGCTACATGTATAGTATAAAAGTTCATATTTCAACACATTAGGTAGAGCTAATACTGGCCTAATTAGATCCAGCATATTAATCTGATAAGGTAGCCGATAATATGGCAAAATCTATGCATGATTGACGAGGTGCAATGCACTATCTGTCGGGCCAAAAATTGGGACAAATAATATATGTAGCTCACCTGTTCAATATCAAGTTTATGAAAGAGAATGTCATGTATGGCTTGAATATTAAAACTTTCTTCAACTTTGGTATAAGGACAAATCAGGAGGTGAACAATCATCACACCAATAATACTTAATTCCTCTATAAAAACCATCCTTACAATATCTGAAATGTAAAAATATTACATTAATTCAGTTATATCCCAAACCAATAGTATTTTCTCTCGGCTAAATTACTTTTAATGCAACATGTTCACGAGTCTGTGACTATCAAAGCAGGAAGTAGAACCCCTATTAAAATTTGAATGTCTCATCCCTCTTTTTGGATCTCCCAATGTTTGAAGTATTCATAAAATTATATTGGCATAGTTAAAAAGATAGCTGTCATGCTAGACCTATATACATGTATCCATTATTTGTGTGTATATCTGTAGCCTTATTAGTATTTAAAATATTTGAACTGAAAGACAAAGGGTGGAAAAATGCAGAATTTGCGTTGGTTTTTTTTTCTTTACCATAATACCTGGGGGGGGGGGGAACGGGACGGGGATGGCCGAATGGTTAGCACGCGTGTGCTGTATCATAAGGTCTGTCATTGAGTCAACTGGCGTGGTTTTGATTCCTTGGTTGTACATGACAAGGTGAAGGAGTAGGGTCCGCATGTCCAACCTCGTGGGTTTTCTCCGGGTCCTCCGGTTTACTCTCACTGCTAAAGACCCCTACGTGCAACCGAATTATAAAAATAAAATTGAACCATGTGTTAGTCCCGAAATGACCTAGTTTGTGTCAAGTGGAGGTTAAACCTCATTTCTCTCTCTCTCAGTACCATATATATACAGAACAGAGAAATGAAATAGTCAGTTAAGCTTCAGTTTTTTTGCAGTTCTAAATACTACTTGTTGAAGTAGTTTAAAGATCTACAATTTAGAGAGAGACCCTAAAAAGGAAACGAGACAATTAGAACTAGAAGGATGATGCAACAGCTTCTTCTACTTCTAGCGTCATTCATGAAGTTCATCCAATCTTTCACTCCAGACTCCAGTCCAACACTAGTTCTGGGTTCGGGAGGCTATGTGTGAGGCTTTTATAATTAGACCACATTTTAAATCATATCTGTACAGCCGATAAATACCATCTACAAATGAGTACAACTTTAATGTTTTCAAAGTCATGGTACGGTACCTGTAAAACATCAATTCTGTTAAAATATTTTATTTGCGTTCATGGGCGCAGACATCTTGTTTTTAAAATCCACTCCCGGAGAAAATTACAAAAATGCAAAGCTAAATCTAAATAAAAAATAATTTACATTTCTATTCAGTGATGCCAAATATAATTATAAAAATATATTTTACAATATCTGAAATCCTACTATGAAAAGGTAATTCTAGAAAGCAGTAAATCGATATTAATAAATATTACTTCGTTTTGTAAAAATAATTCTGCAGTTCGAAATATTATTTTGGTTAAATTTGCCTCGATTTCAGACATAAACACAAATTGGAAATGGCGTCTTCAGCTTTATCTGAAGATGAATTTCATCGTTTACAGGTATCCACGACAATTCTATTTGCAATTTCTTCAGTACATTATGGTGGGATGGGAGTTGAATTCATTGTCCCGATAACCAACCCTCTGACAAATCCAAAAACCCGGTTTTAATAGAATGACAATGTCAATAATGACATTTAAATTTATTTCATTAATGAAGACGGCACAACCCATTTTTATACGTCCACATTATTGTCGTCTCCAGATTCCGTCTGGACGCCCGTCCGTATGTTCGTTCACATTTTATTTTTGGACACACAGGTCACAATTTTTATCTGATTTTGAAGAAACTTGAAATATAGTGTTTATATCTTGATATAAGATATTCCCATTTGACTTTGTAGAATCGGACTGGTGATTGTTCAAAAAGCTTGTCACTCTAGAGGTCATAATTTTTATCCGACTTTGATAAAACTTAAAGTATATGTTTATATTCGAAAGGTCTTTGTTCCTTTCAATATATTGATGCATGTCGAACCGTAACATCCAGGATTAAGGTCCCTGATTGTACGAAAAATCGCTTTTTAACTTGTTCTCTGTCCATCTTTTGCAAAATGTAGGCATATCTTGCATGGCAACCACTTGTTCTTGAAGTCAGAATTCGGAGTCACACTTTTGACCTTGCCATATATAGATATTGAGGCTATGCCAAACTATTCTGAAGATTTGGTTTTGCTTTATTATATCTGCCCATTGATACAATACCACGGTGTCACCGTCTTGACAAACCTTAATTTATGCCACTCTCTATTTTTACCGATAGTCTGGAACACTACCATGATAATTTTTGTGTTTACATATTCGACAATTGCTAAAATGTATCATAAAGTCTGTCATTGAGTCGACTGGCGTGGTTTCGAATCCCTGGTTGTACGTGACAAGGAGTAGGGTCGCCTGTCCAACCACGTGGGTTTTCTCCAGGTCCTCCGGTTTCCTCCCACTACTAAAGACCCCTATGCGCACGAATTATTGAAATAAAATTAAACCATATGTTAGTCCTGAAATGACCTAGTTTGTGTCGAGTGGACGTTAAATTAAACCCCATTTCTCTCTCTCTCTCTCTCTGAATATTATTGAATAGGCTATCCCAAATAGCCTTATTGGACGTTTTGCAGGTTGGAGTTATTAAAATAAACAGTGGCAGTGCGTACATGTTGCCTGCAACATTGTTAGTTGATGATAATGAATTTCTCTTGTCGAAAAATCGAAATCTATGGAATTAGGGTTGGTAACAGGTGTTCTGTTGTATAAAAAATGGGTCACATAATAGTAAATATGTACCTTAAAGGTCACCTAAAAAGCTTCATAATTTTTTTTTAAATAATGCAAATAATTATGTCAACATATCCTTTCCATAAATTAGCTTATAAAACAATCCCAAATGTCAATGTTATCTGTCGCAACTTTCTGCCAATAAACAAGCCGTGATGTAATTTTAGTCCTGCTCATAGAAATATAGACAGGAATATGAGCAGAAGGACTAAAATTAGGTCACAGCTTGTTTATTGGCAGAAAGTTGCCAATGATGACCGAGGCTAGGCAGAAATTTCATTCGCTTAGTTCTCGGTTCATAGTGGATCAATTTGAATGAAATTTTCAGCAAATTGCCTTTACTTTATCTAGTTTTTAATTATTATAGTGGAAATATAGCTCTAGAGACCTAAATGCCAGTAAATGAAATTTTCACATTGCAATTGTATTCCGACCCAATTTTTGTTTAACTAATGGAATTGAACTAATAATGTAATATGAATAAGTCTTGATGACCTTTTTAAAATTTATTTTATTACAGCTACAACTGTTAGAGTTAAGAACAGCTAATTATGAACTGGAAGGGAAATGTAAAAAATATGAGAGAGGTATAAAATGAAATTTAGATGTACTTCATTAAATTGATGTGTAATTGTCTGTTCTTCAGGTTTTCTGAAAAGTAAATGTCTAGTTTGCACTTATAGTATATCTAATTATGAAAGTAAACCATGTCTTATATTCAAGGTACATGTACATATAACAAGTTTAATGCTGAATTTCTATTTTTGTCTTATTTCTGAATATTTTTGTTTTATAGAACTAACTGTGGGCCAAGAAAGGGTTGATGTATTAGATAAAGAACTTACTAAGGCCAGTAAGGTGGGTTATGATATTACTTTTACAGACTGCAATTTGAAATCTTTGATCTAGAATTTAGTCATTTGTCTGTGGAACTGAATGCAAGAATGAGATAACAATTATGCACAGGATATTCATTGAAAGTTTCAGATCAAGACATTTAGCCATTTTTCAATGATTGTTGCATTATGTAATGCTGATGCATTATGTAAGAATTAGACAAAGAGCTGGTCATTCTTGCTATACTAAATGACTTTACTTTATTCTGTACGAAGTTATATGAGTTTTTATATGCCCACATTGAAATGTAGTCTATATTGTCGTTTCCCCTGTTGGCCCGGCCGGCCTACCATCCAGCGTCCACAAGCTCTAGAGGCTAAAATTAATATCCTATTGACTTTAGATTTATAAACAGTGTTTAAGGTCATGAGACAATGAAGCCTATTGATTTTCAGTGATTTCTGATAGTTACTGCCACAGTTATGCCCCTTGATCACTTTGAAAAATCTTTTTGACGCTCTAGAGGCTAAAGTTAATATAGTATAAGGAATAAATATGCAAAGTTCCAAGATGATCCATTCAGAATTTCAGCGTTCAGACGATGAACACAAAACTTGGGCGTGGCTCTGCCCCCCTGAGGCTTGGATTTGGAACAATATAAATAGGTACAACCCTATTGTGGATAATAATTGAAACCTGTAGATTATTTACTGACAAAATATTAACAAAAAGTGTATGTGGCACCACCCAAGCGGGGCGGATTATGCACCAAAATCAATTTCATTCTCTAAAATATTTCTGACATGGCTTCTTTAATCCGGTGGATATCTTCAAAACTTAGCGGTAGATTCATGAATTTGTCAATTTCATTGGATTTTGTATTTATATTTAATTTGAAGCAAAAATGTATTAATTGCTTTAAATTGCTATAAATAATGTACACAGTATCCATAGACAACAATTTGACTGTTTTTTCTCTGAGATAACTTCTGTGGGGGCAGGATTTGAGATGTCTGATTTTGTAATTTTGTGACGGTGAATGATTTCTGTATATTTGTGATCTATTGATTTTGGAAAATTTTCTTTATTTTTATTTGTCTATTGTAGGTTATTAATAAAAGCAAAAAGACAAAGGTATGTTATTTGTTGTCAAAGAAGGAAATGTTGTGTCTGAAATGTTTGTAAAAAAAAAGTAACAGAATGCATATTAACCAGTACGTCAAGCTCAGACAAGAATAATTTAAATGAAAAAGGCTGTTGTTTAGACAGTAATAAATTCTTTGAAAATTGTAGGAAGTAGAATTATTGATGCAAGAAAATGATGGTCTTCAACGTAAGCTACACAGTCAGGAAGAAGAATTCCGTTTACAAAACCAAACATTAATGCAAGAATTATCAACTGTAAGTTAAGAGATGACTGTTTTTTCCAGAAGATTTAGTGGTGTAAAATTTCATATTTCTCATTGCTTGAATGCAGTTTTAAATTTATGTACTATTAGCAGGATACCCGGCTTCGCTCGGGGGTCATAACTCCGAAACCGGAAGTGGTGGACTAACGCCACCTGGTCTATGTTACTCCCCGGTCCGAGCTTCCCCTATACCCCAAATTCCAGACTCGGAGCAGACCTAGTGTAGCCGCCAACCCCGAACAGGCCGGCTTCGCTCGGGGGGTCATAACTCTGAAACCGGAAGTGGTAGACTAATGCCACCTGGCCTATGTTACTCCCCGGTCCGAGCTACCACTATACCCCAAATTTCAGACTCGGGCCAGACCTAGTGTAGCCGCCAACCCCGAACAGGCTGCCTTCGCTCGGGGGTCATAACTCCGAAACCGGAAGTGGTAGACTAACGCCACCTGGCCTATGTTAATCCCCGGTCCGAGCTACCCCTACACCCCCAATTTCAGACTCGGGGCAGATGTAGCCGCCAACCCCGAACAGACAGACTTCGCTCGGGGGTCATAACTCCGAAACCGGAAGTGGTAGACTAACGCCACCTGGCCTATGCTACTCCCCGGTCCGAGCTACCCCTATACCCCAAATTTCAGGCTCGGGGCAGACCTAGTGTAGCCGACAACCCCGAACAGACCGGCTTCGCTAGGGGGTCATAACTCTGAAACCGGAAGTGGTAGACTAACACCACCTAGCCTATGTTACTCCCCGGTCCGAGCTAACCCTATACCCCAAATTTCAGACTCGGGGCAGGCCTAGTGCAGCCGCCAACCCCGAACAGACAGACAGACAGACTGACAGACAGTCATAAATATATATATAGATTTAATATGCCTACAGTGTATATTGTTAAAAGTCTGTTGTTCACAATTTCTTTTGAACTCTTTGCAAACTACATATGATCTTTGTAGAATTCATATATGTTGTTTAGTGAGACAAAGAAGTCTATTTAAGTTAATTGATTTCTGAAAATGACATCTTAATTTATTGTCATTTTCCTTGATCATGCTCTATGTAGACTCTTGTATATGCTCTAACAAAAAAGCCATTATAAGCAATGACTTAGCTGCTATGGATATATGTTTTGTTGGGCGGCAACCTATCTTTTCTTGAATTTGATAATTTAAAAAAAGTTAACTTCTTTTCACACAAAATTATTGCAGTACTTTATCAACCGGTATGTTTGAGTGTAATTGATGAAAGGTTGACAACCACTGGAATCTAACTTTCATTATTGCAGTTAGTAGCTTCAAATGAACAATTAGAAAAAGAAATAACTGCTTGTAAAGATGGGAACACTTCAGTGAAGGGAAGTAATTCTGATTTAGAAGATGAAATTCGAAGACTTCAAGCTCAGAATGCAGCTTTACAAAAGAATTATAACAGTAAGCATGTAGTTAATCGATTACTATATTTATAACTGCTATTATGGCATTTATGAATAAGCAAGTAGGAGTGTATTTGTTATTCCATATAAAAAGCGTAAGTGTGTTAGTCTTCAATTATTAAATGTCACTCAAAGAAGGAAATAAGAACTTGTATTTAATTAAAGATATCTTCTTTCAAGCATAAGACGGTCATCTGTTAAACCCTTTAAACTTATTTATATTTGTAAGTGTGACATTTGTAACCATAAACAAAAATCCAATTACAGATCCAAGTTGCTTAATAATCCCACGATAAATGAGTCAGAAATTTATATTGTATTCATTTTAATGTAGCTTGAAACAAATGGATACAAAATAAGAAATTTATTTTCCAGGCATTAAAGAAAAATACGAGAAGGAATTACTGAGTTTACGAGGAGGAAATGAAGTACCACCATCTACAGAGAGAGAATCTCCTACAGGAGTAGAGGAAAGAAAAGTAGAAGGTTCAGATCATAAAGATGATGAAGTTAATAAAATAAATACAGGTGTGTTTTATTTTCTTCCAGTAGAAATTCTCATAAAATATAGAATTATGACCTTAGTCCTCCGTTTGCACAATGCTATTGAACGATGATGATAAGCCAGGGCAGGTAATTGCATAGTTATGTAAAAATTTGATATCTTAAAGAACAACTTTTGACTTCACACATTTATCAGAAATTAATATTTTAGTGAACTATATATATCTGTAGAAATATTTTCTTACCATAAGAACTCATTTCTATCTGATGATATTATAGATATAATACAAATATATATTATGGTGTTTTGTAGAGAGTGCTAACAGCATAGAAAAATTATCAGAGGAGATTCACAGTAAGTCATCTTATATTTAATATGTATGTATACAAGTATTTACTTTGTTTTCTGTTCAATTTTATCAAAAACAGATACTCCAAAACATTATACTAGACTGTAATATATATTGTTCTAGCCAATGCCAGATGCTTTATTATTTTGTTCTATTTTTTAATTCAGAATTAAAGATAAGTCTGGATACAGAATTAGAAGAAAAGAAAATTCTTAAAGAGGAACTTTCTTCTCAAGAGGTATATGTATAGTGGGGACAGATTTGTTTAAAAAAAGGGGGGGGGGGTGAAAGTGATTCTTAGTGAGCGAAATGAGCAACAGTTTACTACATCCAAGGACAGAACCTTATTGAGGATTAAAGTGCAAACCTACCTAAAGGCACCTTGTTATAAAAATTTGGTAGTAATATTACATTTAGAAAGTATAAAACTTAATTTTTGGAGAAAAAAAAAAGGCGGGTGCACCACATCATCTTCTTAAACTGCCACTCTATTGTAATGCTTATTGTTTGTTTTTACCATCAAAATCACAGTTATTTTTGCACACCAACATACTGTGGACTTGTTGTTGTTAAAACATATATTAAGTGTTTTGAATTTCTTTCAGAAAAAATTGAAAGATAAAATTGTTGTTTTACAAGATGAAAGTGAAAAGGTAAATAAACTTTTACTTTATTGCATACAGTTGGCAATGAAAGAAAACAAGAATAGGAATATTCCTTTAATTAGAAATAGTTTTAATTACCTTCAGTCATTTAGAAAATTGATAAATATTTTCCTAATTACTCACCTCATTTAATTAATTGTTTTACAGTTCAATGAAAAGCTCAAGAAAAAACAAGAAAGGTACATTTTTATATAAATATTTTTGAATAGATGAGAGTGGTTGGGTGGCAGAATGTTCTAAAATATACATGGCAGATGATAAGGTCTTTTACCTGTGCAAGCAATGATTTAAACCCATGTTTTTATGTGTCAAGCAGTAGGGTCATCTGCCTAACCTCTGGCAATTACTGTCAATTCTGGTTAGTGTTGTAGCACTATGCAGTTCGGCAACCAAATCAAACATATAGTGATATGCAGTGCTGTGAGTTGCTGGCTAGATGTGGAAAGCCCACCTGTCACAAACTCCCCACATCCAATATATAGGTAACAAGCATAGATTAAAAATAAAGTCATTCTCTACTCTCTCAAACCCACCATTTTGCAGAATGAGTTTACTGACGAATGCAATACATCATGTGGCTCTTCTATGGCTTAACAGGGCATTCAGAATCCAAATGTTGCCTCTTGAACCTCAACGGTCTCTTCCAACGAATTTCTTCATAGTGTTTGCTGTCTCAAAACCTACATGGTCGTCTACAATCGCCCATGGCTCTGGTGGTTTTATATGCCTTGACTACTGCTATCTATTATTTAATTGGTCAAATATTACATAATTAATTATGATGATGGGTTACTAAGCCTAATGACTTCACGAATAAACCAAATATGGAATGGACATGTCTCATACATTGCATACCAACAGGTGACATATGACAAATGTGTTTATTAACCTTAAGTTCAATTCATGTATCATATTACAACAGATTTCCATTGTTTCAAGTGCTGTTTAGCTTGTCAGTGGATCTGTAAACAATAATTAGTCAAGGCCATAATATTATACATAAGTGTTCTTTTACACAAAACTCGCCCTGATATAGTACTACAGTGTTAAACCCAATTCCCTGTCTATGCCTTTGAATAGACGATTTGAATACATCAGTAAACAGAGTGAAGATGCCATGTTTGTGTGATAAATGCTAGTACAGTTTTGATTTTGTTTTCAGTGTTATCATACTACAGAAAGAGAAAGAAGATATGTTTGCCGAAAGTAGGTAAGTAAACAATGTCATTCTTGAGACAGTAGATAATTGTTTACGTAGATATTTGACATGAGTACTGGTTCAAACAAAGAGACTGAACTGTGAAGAGTTAAATTTTTAAGATCTGGTATTAAAATAATATACTAATAAATTAATTTTTTGAGTGTCTAAATTGCACAATTATCATATATTTTTGCATGGCAAACATAGTCCAAAAGTGTCTTAATTCAGAGCTAACCAATGCTTACAAAATGTCTGATCACCATCGGCCGCTGGCAGAAATGTTAAAGGAACTACAGAGTTTGTTAAAGGTGGTGGTGTTGGAAAGGATACATACACATTCTAACAATGTTTTAATATTCTTGAAGTGGTAAAAAAACTGTTATTGACATAAGAAAGAGTCCAGGACGTCCAAGGAATCAGTATAAGACCAGTTTTGCGAGTATTTAAAAGAAAAACATCACAAAACCTGAGTATTTTAGCATTAAACTGCTAAAAAAAACTAGACACTGAAAGAGTTAAAATAGGTATTTATAGCCTACTATCAAAGAACTTGATATGTTACCATGATAGATAACACTTGTGTGTATAATATAATGTATTTTTTACAGTAAAAAGATTGAAGAATTACAAGCAGGAAGAGAAAGGGATAAAAAGTATTATCAAGATGTAACTAGTAAATTACAAACAGAAATAGAAAAACTAAAACAGGTTATATTTTATTTCTTTCCAAATTTAGATGTTGATAAATTGTTTAAATTTTGTTAAATTAAATTCAGATTATGCATATTTTCAGAGTTCCAAAAAGCTCCAAATATCACAGAGCTGGTGTTGGCTGAGAAAGTTCTACATAATCTACCTGTGTGATTACCCCTTGGCATTGGTGCAGGGCCTGTCACGGTACATCGTCTAGTCACGTATACCATTGATATAGTTGGAATTCAAAATAAAGGAGGCCATTTGGTGGCTGTCTGTGCAAAAATTTCCCTCATAGCACACTGCATGACATATGCCTGTCTTCATTAGGCCCATTCCATTTCATTTCCAAATACTCATTCTTTAGGTGCTAACTGTTGTTATTAGATATAATAAAAGTTGTTAACATGTCGAATTAAATCAACTTTTCTGTAAATATATTTTAAAGTTTGATACAATTTATAGGTTGGTGAAAATGATCATACATCAGCAGAACAAAAAATGCAACAACTGGAAAAAACAATAACAACACTTCAGTCACAGGTTAGTATTAATCATATATTTTCAAGATAACTTGTGTTCCTGAATAAATAGAACAGTGCTTTTTAAAGAAGCAGTCTTGGACTTCCTAGGTTATCAGTTGATAAGAAAGTCTGTTTAAAAAATAATCTCAGATTCAACAGGGTATCTGTTGATTAACATTGTTTTGAGTATAGACATCAAATGTCAAATGAAAAGGAAATCACTAATTTACCTTGTCTGAAAGTCCAAAAGATGGCTGGACTTGCTGAAGTATCGCTAAATTTCAACTAGATTAACAGGGCTAATATAAAGATTTCTATCTGTCTTTTACACAGAATAAAATAGTTTTATTTGCTGAATGCTTCTCTTTTAAGTACTTCTAAGAAAAAATGAGTCTAATGAATTCCATGGTAGTTGACCAAGCCTGAAGATTCTATAAGCACAGAGCATATTTGTTATTCCATATCTATGTAAAGATCAAATTCTGTTATTTGTAATTTCATAGGTTGATGCAGCAAATATTGTCGGTAATCAACAATTACAAGAACAGACAAAGAAATATCAATCTGAGATTATAGAATTACGTAATAATATCACTAAACTAATACAGGAAAAAGATGATCTACAAATACAGTTAAAGGTAGTATATTTAAATAGATTTTAATGACTTATGTTTTCTACTTCTCATAGAGTGTAAAATAAATGTACTTTCTGATTATTTCAATAAAGACAATTCTGAAGTTAATTAATCTTTGAATCAGTAAGGTAAATTTTCTGTTTCCATTCTTTTATTTATGATCATCTGTTTCTGATTATTTTAAAGGAAAGTCAGAAAGCTGTGTCAGATACAATGGAACAGTTTCATGCTGCTCAAAATGATAGAGATTCTCAAATACAATCTTTACAGGAAATCAGCAAGGTAAAAATATCTTATTAATTTGACCCAGTAGCTTTGACTTCTGATATGTAGGTCCAAAATATATCTCCATTTAGTGAAGTATTGATGGATGTCATGCACAAGAGAATGTATACTTACTTTCCATTTCCATTATCCCGTTTTAAAAATACTTTGTAAGAAAACCTTATTAAAACTCTGCTTCTGTATAGTTAACAAGCTGTAGATTTTGCCAGGCTCCATAACAGGAAGATTCCTATCGAGTTTTATACGCCCACGTCCGTCCGTCCGTCCGTCCATGCTCAATTTGTTTGTGGACACTCTACAGGTCACAATTCTTATCCGACTTTGACGAAACTTGAAATGTAGATTTATCTCCATGTATCGGATCGAAACTTCATGGATTATGGCCGCTGTTTATACAAAAAAAATCATGTTTTTAGCTTGTGGACACCCTAGAGGTCACAATTTTTATTCGATTTAGATGAAATGTTTGTTTATAACCCAAAAATCTTGGTTCTTTTCAATATTCACGTATATCCAACCACAACTTCCTGGATTATGGTCCCTGATTGTACGAAAAATCGCCTGGTATGCGCCCACATTGAAATGTGGTCGCATATTGTCGTCGCCCTCCATCCGTCTGGTGGTTTGGCCTACACAATTGCTTGTGGATGCTCTAGAGGCTAAAGTTAATATCCGATTGACTTTATAAATGTATACACAGTGTTTAAAGTCATGAGATGAAGAATCCTATTGATTTTCAGTAATTTCTGATAATTACTATCAGAGTTATGGTACTTGAACACTTTGAAAAATCTCAAGAGTTTAAAGTCAATATCCGATTCACTTTAAATTTATACACAGTATTGTAGGTCATGAGATGCAGAAGCCTATTGATTTTCAACGATTTCCGATGATTACTGCCAGAGTTATGGCCCTTGATCACTTTGAAATATTTTGTGGACACTGTAGAGGCTAAAGTTAATATCCAATTGACTTTAAATTTATACGCACTGTTTGGTGTTTAAGGTCATGAGACGAAGAATCCTATTGATTTTCAGCGATTTCCGATAGTTACTACCAGAGTTGTGGCCCTTGATCTCTTGGAAATATCTTGTGGACACTCTAGAGACTAAAGTTAATATTTGGTTGACTTTAAATTTACACGAACTGTTTGAGGTCATGAGATGAAAAAGCCTATTGATTTTCAACTATTTTTGATAATTACTGCCAGAGTTAAGGCCCTTGATCACTTTAAAAAAAATCTTGTGGACGCTTTAGAGGGTAAAGTTAATATAAATTGTTTAAGGTCACGAGGCAAACAATCGAAACAAATGTTTTCTGATAATTACTTCAATGGTTATTACTCGTAATCAGATTTTCATGTGTTGTAAATGTTCTCGTTAGGCCTACTGATAAAAGAAAAAATATGCAACAACACTTGTTTGGCGTATGTTTCATTGTCTGGCAACATCTTTAAGCTTGTGTACCACTAGAGGTCACAATTTTTATCCGATTTAAAAGAACATTCAATTGTATCACCGTTACACCATAATGATGATTGAGTACGAATTTCCTGAAAATCAGACCAAAACTGCCACACAAAATGGCCGCTCTATGTATGCAAATAGTATCAAAATATGTAATATTAAGGTTGTGGACCCGCTATAGGTTACAATTTTGATCAGATTTTGATGAAACTTAAAACATGTGTTTATGTCCCAAAGATCTCTATTCCTTTCGATTTTCGGACATATGGGACTGTAAATTCCTGGATTATGGCCCTTGATTACGAAAAAATTCGCGATTTTAGCTTATGAACCCTCTATAGGTCACAGTTTTTATCTGATTTTAAAAATCGTTTAAATAAATCACATCCTGATGATGAATAAGTTCGAATTTCGTAAAGATTGGGCATAAACTGCGCTATAAAATGGCCGCTCCTTGAACTCAAATAGTGTAAAAGTATCTAATACCAAGGTTGTGAAACCGCTAGAGGTCACAATTTTTGTCTGATTTTGATATAGTCCCAGATTTTAAAAAACACTTAATTATATGAAGGCTGAGGTCGAATTTTGTAAAAATCCGACCTAAACTTTTTATTTAATTTTGATGAAACTTGCAAAGATCTTGGTTGCTTTCTATATTCGCGCATATTGGACTATGGATTATGGCCCCTGATTGTACGAAAAATCATGTTTTTTAGTTTGTGGAATCTCTGGAGGTCACAATTTTTACCTGATTTATCTGATTATTTATTTAAATATATCGCTGTTACACACTAATGATGGTTGATGCTTGAGAAAATGGCTGCTACTTGTAGGCAAATAGTGTAAAAGTATGTAATACCAAGGTTGTGGACCCACTAGAAGTCACAGATTTTATCTGATCTTGAACATATCTAATAACGAAAACAGTATTTTGTAATTCTACAATCATTTCCTCCAGTCATGATTGGTATAAGATTTATTATCGTTAAAAATCATAATTGAATCTCGATTAGTAACACATCATATTCGTTTTGTTTTCAGGTGGCTGAAAAAAGAAAATCTATTTTAGATGAACTAGCTATAAAATATCAAAAAGAAATAGACAGTCATAGAGAAATTGTCAACAGTATGGAGGAAAAACACAAAGTTGTGGTTAACTCCCTTCAGCAAGGAATCGTCACTTTACAGGTGAAGACATCATTTTGTGACAGCATACAAATGAAATACCCAATTAGTCAATACTGTATTTTTCTATCTATCACAAACTGGCTTATCTCAGTAGATTCTATCAATGTTGCTAGATCAGGAATGGTGTGTGTGTGTGGGTGGTGGGGGGGGGGGTGCACTTTAGATCATGGGGTCTGTCCATTTACAATACAAGTAAATTCTTAATTATTTTCTGTCAACTTCTTTTTCGCTGTTTAATTGTAGAGTCTTGTACATTGACACCCCTCAATGTTCCCAAAACCTCCCAACTATTTGATCAAGAAATAACAACTGTTCCCTCAGTCAAGCTAGCATACAGTAAACTGGCTGACAACAGTTGGGTTGCCAGTTAGTGATACCCTGACATTTTTGCCCAGTGCTTGCTCCATGGGTGTTTTTCTGGTAATCCAGTATTTTTCTAGTGTCTATACTTTCCATATACCAAATTTGCAATACTTTTATTGGAAATAACAACCCAATAGATACTTTTGGCACAATGTATCTTTAAATATTTATTTTAAAATTGTATTACTTTCTTTTAAATGCTTAAATAATTTAGCTCCTATTTACCTCTTAGATCTTTTTGAACTTTATACACCTGATCGGACATTACATACATCAGATAAACTACTTTTAAAGACCCAAACTGTTAAGTTAGTCTCCTATGGTCAGTCAGAACAGTAGGACGTTAAACACCATTTCATTTCATTTCAGTTGGTCAGCGCTCTTTTAGTTTTCAAGCCGCTATTTTATTGAATAATCTACCATTTAGTTTAAGATGTTGCACAACTCGATATTCTTTTAAAAAACAGCTTAAAACACATTTATTTAAGGGCGTTGAGCAGTCTGAAATGCACATTTTAAAACTAGCACTGTAATTTTTGTTGATAAGATATGACATTTTTTGTTATTTTGGGTGGTAAACTACATATTAATCACCAAAAAATATCGCTTTTATTTACCAACTATGTTCCAAACTTGGCCCAATGGACTACTCAATGCCCTTAATCAAGCTTTTAACTGACTCTGTATACAACTATTAACATATCCATAATCTTGTTGTTTTATATGATTACATTGCCACTTTGTAAAGTGCCCTTGAACACATGATATGAAAGGGCTATAAATGTGCTGTAATAATAATAAATGCATCATGAAATCAAATGTGTCCAGCTAAAAGCTAAAAAAATATATGATTCTAAGTAAATAATGAAACAGATTTTAAAATTCTAAGGGTTATAAATCTTAATTGTTCTTCAATTTTTAAATCTATGTTAAACATTTGTTTTTAGGAGAAAATCGCTGAATTAGAGAAACAGACCATAATGTTCGAAGAATTACAACAAACTCATAAATCTGTCAGTGAATCCAAACAGTGGTTAGAAAGAAGATTAAAAGAAACCGAGGTTGGCAACTGTATACGTTATATACTTTAAGTATTCGTTTTCGTTTAGTTTTATTTTGTTTTACTCTGCTAAAGTAGCGAGTCATTTTTACAGAAGTCATTTAAGACATTCTATAATTTAAAAAAAGGATCCTTTCAAACAAAAAATAGTTGTTCTTTCTATTTGTTTTTATCTGGGTATTAATTAAAATTCATTAACTTTTTAATGTTAGTTTTTCACTTGTGTAGTTTTGTCTGCCACAAACTCCTTATCTTTTCATCATATAACTATTTCCGGATGCAAATTCAGTTATTTTACATTATCTAGGAGCAAACATTTATTGTAAATAATCATTTGTTTAGCTATTATCAGGATATTTGAAATTTGAAGCTATTATGACTAAACAGATTAATGGGGTTTTTTTATTTATTTTTTTACATTCTATGGTGTCTTTAGCTCAGTTCCCCCCAGAAATGTGTTGTTACTTATAAGTTTGATGCTTTATGTGTACTTTAAAAGGGATTTAATTTCAATTTTTAACAGGAAAATCTGGACCAAGCTAAAGTAGACCATGAAACATCTTTAAAAGAAATGAAATCTAGTCATGAAACCGAGATAAATAAATTAAAAGAAGAACATCAAGCAGAAGCAGCTCGATTATTAGAAGAACAACAAACATGGCGAACGGTTAGTTCTAAGTTACATTATATATCCTGATCTCAATTTGTAAACTATTTCTTTATGTGTTTGTTTTGTAAATCTATTGAGAAAAGTTTTGGTTTCTTTAATGAATACAAAAATGCAACAAACTTTGTTAGTTTCGACTTGTATTGCAGTGAGACTACTTTGTTATTGCAGAAAAGTAAGACATTAATCTCCATTTCATTTTATGCATGACTCAATATATAATAATCAGTGAGTTTAGGTGTATCATCTTGTTTGGTACTTATCTTATAAAAAATTCTGGATGACTTATTCAATAGTGATATGTGCTTGTCCTTTTTGGTATTGCATAATTTTTAAATTATTGTACTTATAGTTTAATATCTTTTATATATTTATGGTTGTAGGGATGGGAAGAGAAAGAAAATACATTACTACAAGAAATTGAGAATCTGAAAACAAGTGTGTCATCACTCAGACAGGTATATTTTTGATTATTTTAAGAATTGATGCCTGGTATTGTGAATGACAATGCTTTTTGCTCTTCACTATATTTATGATTGTTTTAAGAATTAATGAAAACTACGACTGATAGCGTGAGTGACAACAGTGTAGCTCATCAAATTGTAGGGTGTTGTTATCTTTGTTTAAAATTATTTTTCTTCGTTTTATGTTATGTAGACACTTATTACTATTTTAGTTTAAACTACCATTTACAGGATACTTTCAGTGAAATGTATGTTGAAGAATTCTTGAGATGCAAATAAATTCTTACAAGTTGATATATAACTTTGTTGACAGTTATACACAAATAATCTCTCAGTTATCTCGGCAATGATGTTGTGCATTATATATTTCAGGAAATTAAAGATGGTGTGGGTGATAAGAAACTTCATGAAAAGAAAGGGTTAACAATGGTATATTGCATATTGTTAAAAATTCTCTATTTGAATTTTAACATAAAATATTACTTTGTTTCATTTCTAACCATGTGATTGTGAATATGTGTCTTGTCATAAGATAAACATAGATAAATTAATTTGCACATTATTAATGTACAAGAATGACTTCCAGCAAATTATTAAAAGTTAATGAAGATAATATTTTCAGATAAAAGATTTAAAACGTCAGTTACATGCAGAACGAAAGCGTACAGAAAAATTACAGGAACGTCTACAAGAAGTTTTGACAGATTCCAAAGATAGACAGAGTAAGTTAATATTAGGATACTTTTTGGACTTTTACAAATGTAATTATGCTGTTATGTGTTTTTTAAAATAAATTGTTACTATAAACTGAATAGGACAGAGTAATTATGGTTTGCTATACAGATAAAATTTTTGAAAAACAAAGCCAATTTTACTTATTTAATTATAATTAAATATTGTATTGTACAATACAAAAGCAATGCAAAAGTGTGAAAAAGGTTTCCTTCAAAGATATATTTTGATTGAGTTTGTATTCTTTTTAAATAACCTCAAGTTTACACACGTTTATAATTTACAATAGAAGTAATGCCAATGGTAGAATGTAGTCATACTGTATTTTACACCACTTATTACATCATATTACACTGACTAAGTTATATTTCATTCTTAAAGGTATGGAAGATTTATTCCGACCAACTGATCCTAATGACATGTTCCGTTGTGATGATAGGTAAGGAATTTTAGAGATCATATATAATTAAGTTTATTATAGTCACATGTTATAAATAAGGTATTATGTAGACAGTAATGTTTTCTTAAGTTGGTCAACTTGTATATTGACCAGAATATAAGCGAGCTGAATGAAATAATGACTTTTATCCTGGACAAGCCCCACTTTAAAAATTCTTTAGCCCTAACCAGGGCTTCCACTTCAAAATTTTCACTGTCTGTGATTTTTGATAACGCATGAGAACTTGGTTTTTATTTATGGAAGGGTATCATGAATTCACATGTCTATACTGCTTTATCAGCATGGTGTACACAAAATATTACATGTTGGACTAAGAAATAAATTATTAGAAGGACTTATAATAATTTTTTATTAATGAAATATTCCCATATTACTATTTAAATAGTTTTTATTATCGAAATTTCTTACTTGGTTAAAGACAAATAAAGAGCTGAATTGGCTGTAGAAAAATCATTCCATCAAAGCAATTTTTTGTGAACAGTATGTTGACACATTAGTGATTTTAAAATTCATCACAATTCCAAGACATTACAAGAAGGTTTAGAGTCTGTACACCATCTATACATCAGAATCTGGTGTGTCCACCGCGAGTGTCAATAACAGCAGTGCAGCGTCTGTACATGGAGTGGAGCAGACGATTGAATTTCATCCCAAATATTTTCAATCAGGTTTAAGTCTGGACTAAGGGCTGGCCAGTGCATAACGATGACACCGTTCTGCTGTAGAAAGCCCCGAGTAACTCTGGTGGTGTGGGTACGGGTGTTTTAATGCTGGAAAACGTTTCGATGACGTGCGAAATGTGGTATGATGTGGGGTCTGAGAGCTTGTTCGATGTAGCGCTCTGCTGTGATGCTGCATCCTCTCCCTGCACCAAGATTTTGGAACATGGCAGTGTTGTCACCATGTGGTAACCCTTGGTCTACCAGTTTCGGGGCGATCATCTGTGGTGTTGGTGGCTCGAAAGCGTTGCTGAAGCTCGTAGATGGTCCAAACATTGACCAAAAGGCTTTGGCAGTGTTGAGTCTTCCAAGCGCCTGGTTCCTCTTAAGCTGTCGTGAGTCGTGGCATGCTGCTGATGTTGTAGTGTGAATGATTCTACCAGGTATGGGGGTGCATTTTATAGGGCTAGTCCCGGTGAACCGCTCATGCAGCATGAGTTACATGAAAATCATGGAGAACATATTACCATCTCAGAAGTCAGGCTGCGTTTTTGAGAACATTTCCTGGGTTAATTCTGTGTTTGGGAAGGAGCCTTATTACTCAGGTAAAGTTGGAGATGTGGTCACAAATATACAATAAAAACATTTGGCAAGTTTTATGCAATGTATCTATGTAACATACCAACCTGACGTTTCTTTTGCTGCTTAGTATATAATATAGAATTATCCACAGAATATTTCTCACATTTATCGGTTTTAGACCATCTCTTACAGCATTACAGACTGCAGAATTGTGACATATACTCAGCCAAATTAAAAACTTGACACTCGGGATTTTTGGGACTAGATTTTTAATATTTGGTTTAAGGCAACTATTTTAGTGTTATGTTGTGCACAGACGACCTTGACATCAACAGAAAGCAAGAATACGTCTCGCCGAAAGTCCTTGACATTGATAACATTCGTGATGTCTCAGTACCCCCCAAAATGAAATTCACAGACTTGGAGAACAATCAGAATAAAATGTTTAGTAACGGTTGTGGCCTCCTCTAGCGTCTCGTATTGCCACACAACGTCTTCTCATGGATCTCAGAACATTAGTAAACACTACCTGAGGAAGACGTCGCCACTGCATGTTGAAGGTCCTGCAACGTCAGTGGTGGATTCACTTGCTGACGAACACGTCGACCCAGTTCGTCCCAGATGTGTTCAATAGGATTAAGGTCGGGGCTAAGCAATGGCCAATCCAGGACTTTTCTTAAAAAATTCTGGGTAGCAATTGCTGTATGGGGTCGAGCATTGTCTTGTTGAAACGTTAGTCCAGGCCCATGTCTCTGCATAAACGGAAGAAGAACGGGTTGCAAAATCTGATCCCTGTACTGGACAGCATTTAAGTTCCCTTGGACAACAACAAGAGGAGAACGTCCATGTGCACAAAAAGAACCCTAAACCATGACGCTTCTGCCACCAAATCGGTCAACTTCTCTGACGCATACTTGAGCATAACGTTCACCTCGTCTGCGGTACACTCGGGCCCTGCCATCGGCAAATCTCAAAGTGAATAGAGATTCGTCACTAAAGACAACCGAATTTGCACTGTCTTTGAGTAAATCTTATCTGTCTTGTGGCCCACACTAGTCGGTTACGGCAATGAAGAGGTGTCAATATTGGTCCATTATAGGGCCTCTGAGCTCGAAGATCAGCAGCCTGCAAGCGATTTCGAACAGTTTGTGCAGTTACCCTTCCACCAAACATCTCTCTACTTGTGGAGGTTGCAGTGACAAATCTGTTTCTAAGATGACGTAATCGTATTGCTTGATCTTCCTGGAGTGACGTCACACGTGGCGCTCCCGCCCTTGGGCAGTCGGCAATAGTTCCAGTTTGAAGCACTCTCATTCTAAGATTAATTATTGTCTGGCGTGAACAATTAAAGGCTCTTGCAACAGTGACCACAGACTGACCAGCATAGAGCCTACCTATAGCACGTAGACGTTCTACATTTGAAAGGCGCGGCATTTTCTAACAAAGATGAAAATAACAATTTTAATTTGTTTTTCCAGTTCAAGTTACGTGTGCGTGTTCAGTTTAAGCAAACTTGCATCGATCGACCTCACGAGTTTGTGTTTGCACGTGTTTTTCAGGTTTTTCATCTTTATATGCTCAAAAGTCACGTGATCCACGTGACTTTACAATTTTATGAAATTAAAGGCTTCTTACTACTTACTATCGTTAGAAACAGTTTAAAATTTATTTGACTTACCAGAAAAAAAAATTTGTTGAAATTCATCAGTGTCAAGTTTTTAATTTGGCTGAGTATATATCCTAATATTAAATAACTAATTCGAATGACAGACTAGCGAAACTAGCGCCCTCTAGAATATGGTTAGAATAGTGGTGCATAATAAGAGTAAACATATACACTACATTTGTGCCAACATGTAAGTTATCAATATTGCTATAAAATAGCACTGGAATACGTAACTTTCTTAATTTTTCGGTAAGTGAGTTTACTAATCTCTAGCTTTTATTTCTACAATTCCCACAAGACCGTAATATTGCTGTATACTTTTTTTAGTGCCTTTTTTTCCGGACATGTTGAGGATTTACATAATTTCTGTGCTGTTTTTATTTAATACAAAATTTGGTTGGATTCGAAGAGCAGTACTTTTACACCATGTCCATGTGTTACCATAAAAGCGGTATAGTGGCTTTGTTCTAGAAAATTCTTATGACACATGAACAATATGTGGGTGCTAATATAGAGAATGACTAACTGTGGACAACTTCTCGTTATTGATAAGATTCCAATATATCGATTCACTTTTATTGTTCTATTACCAGACATTCATCATTAATTACATCCCACTTCTACTCGTTGTCACTGGCAACCTTTGATAAAACTGTCCTGTTCATTTGCAATACATGCATAAAAGTATCTGTGTATCAGACATGTACAAAAAGAGTACTGTTCATTTTCTGATACAGATACTTTTATACCGTTTTAGATACCTATCAAGCAATAAGTAGCGGACGTTTAGTCCGACCCAGATCGCAATTGATAACGATGGCTCTATTCAATGTACATGAAACAACTAGTCAAAATCATAGTAACAAAACAAAATGTGGGGAACTACATAGCAGTTCAAAAACATATACAATGACATTAAATTAACATAACAACATATTACAAAAATCAATTATTATACACTACATTTAATAATATCGCAGTCCTCTACGCCATAGACAAGTTGTTTTGACGATGTGGTCTAAACAAACACGTGATTGTTTTACGCTCAGAGTATCATAGCAAGACGCACGTGTAAATACTACTCAGGTCGTCTATCCACTGCGAAATCATTCTATCATGAAATGTAACGTGAGGCTCAGAAAGGGATAAATAATGAAAGAGCAGAAAGTATTTGTCACTTTTCGGTTGAAACGACTCGATAATAAATACTATTTTTCACATTTTGCTTCACAATACTCGATAGAAATGTGATGTAAGTAACTTATTAGCACCTTTCCTCGGTGTATCGGTGAATATCAGGACAGTTTTGGTCGGGGGCCGCCTCGGCTGGGCCCCTCGACCAAAACTGTCCTGATATTCACCGATACACCTCGGAAAGTGTGCTAATAACTACTACTTATCAACACAACATTCAGTATAATCCTCTGTTGACAACTATGTATACAACTCTATAAAATGAGATTATCTATATCTATGCATTATTCTGTACTGGCCTAAGAATTTTAAAGTTACATGGCGGAGGTTGATTATATCCATGTTTGAAAATTGGGTTTGAAAAATAAGCTGTTTTTTTCCGGCGTACAATATGATCGATGGGTCACATCTAGTTTCGGTCATCTTCCATAGCTATTGGTCATGACTGGCATACACATCAGCTTATACATCTTGTAGACTTGCTACATTTTACTATACTAATCTCTAAGATTAGTTCATGTGGAAATACAAGAATTAATACATTGAATCAAGATCTGTTCTTTTCTTTTGAAAGTTTTATCGACAAACTTGAAATATCGAATATTAGATCACTAGGAACTAGAAAGTGATTTTAATAAAACAATTAATTGCATAAATTTTAATGACTTAATGTTTGGCAATAGATGGATAATGTTTGACAATAGATGGTCCGACATTACCACCATTTTCCCAATGATGTATCTTAAAATGTTAGGTTTTTTTTTTAAAAACATGACACTCACTGTAAGCTAATAATAGTTTTAAATTAGAACTTCTAATTTACCATCTGAAAAATTTGTGGCATTTCTCATATTAGTTTACTTTTATTACAATATGCC